TTGAAATTGCTACCTGATAGGCAGCAGCCGATGGCGGATACTGCCGGCAGAAAACAACAGAGTTTGGTACATGTCCTGCTATGTTTCACGCACGTTTGGCATGTGGATATGGAGCAGAATTCAGCAGAATTCAAGGAAGTGCCTGCCATAAGGTTTGTACGTTCTACCAATTTCCCTCCTTTTCGAGCAGATTCTGCCAGGTTTGGACCATTATCCGCTAGGGCCAATGAGCAGTGATTAGGGGTGTACGGATAATGCTCCAAAAGGTGGCAGATAATAATAATAATTATAATAATATTCGCGGGATCCGCGTCGGCATCGCTTGAATGTTCAGAAACACACAAACTAGCCTTCGCATCCGCAGGCCACCACTATGCCTATTAACCTTAGTGGCGAATGCAGACCTCACAAGTGAGTCAGGGGAGAGGAGGTTAGTCTCTCAACCAATCGGGCGTGTAACGGCCCATAACCCTGTAAACTGCATCCTTGTTATTCTCACTCCGAGCTGTGAGTACCCAGTTGACCGTGGGTGTCGGCGCAGTTCAGCACGCGTAAAAGTCTTTTTTACACGCTCCCTGCTACCAGCGCGGGTCTTGAACTCGGGACCTCATGATTCGCAGGCAGGCCTGCAAACCAATCGGCCATATGCGTTGGCAGATTCTGCTCGAAAAGCAGTGAAATCGGCAGAACCATACAAACCTTATGGGGCCAATTCCTCGAATTATGCTCCTCTAATTCTACTTGTCCATAATATACGGGCCAAACACTGCATGAAAACTACCATCAAAAGTCGTATGCAACTTCTGCCGCATTTTCGGCCGCGGCATATGTGATAACCATCGGTGGATAATGCCGGCCGAAAACTGGCAGAAGTTGATACGAGTTCTGATGTGTTTTCATGCGTGTTTGGCACCGTATATTATGGACAAGTAGACATCTACGAGGAGCATAATTCGAGGAATATTCTGCCATAAAAATAATAAAACTTGGATGGAGAGCCTAGGATTAAGATGAATAAAGACAGGACCATACGTTTACAAGTTATCCGTTTTGTCCAACACTAACGATTATAAGCAGGATACTGTTGAGTGAAAATGTGCAACAATTAGCACAAAACTGACCGATGTGATAATGACATTCAACGAAGTGATGCTAAGCTGCATCACGTCTGGAATGCGCAAACCAACAGCCTTCCAACTTCGAAGGTTCTAAGCTATGAAGTAACGTAAGAAAGGGGAAGGTTGTTGTTGTTGTTTGGCTTATAAGGTGAGCGCACTCTAGACGACAACAAGCTAAACATCATAGCGAAATAAGAATGTTAGTTATGACAAGATGACAAGATGATGATGCAGGGCGAAGGACCACAGCATAGGACGGCCACGGCTCACTTCGAAATTTTTCCATTGGCTGTCTTGACATGCTACGAAGTGCAGAAATAAATAAAATAAAATAAATAAAACGCGAAACAACGACCACCCAACTTGGGAGGCTCATGTTATCAGAGATAAGCAAAAGAGGGGAAGTAACACGTTAGTTACGCGATCACGAAGCAAGACAGACCGGACGGCACAATCTCTTCGTACTATTGTAGCGACCTCGCTGCATGACGTTAGCTCACTCACTAATTACATGTATACGCATGCGCATGAAACACGTCTTCCTCTTTGTTCTAAAATAAACAACAACCATTAGACAAAGTTGCACTCTGCTCGGAGTTGAAATTATTAGGCCCCAGGGTGGTATGTCCCTGGATTCATCTGTCTCCCCTGTGAACAGATACGACCTCTGCCATCCTGGGTGCCTAAATTATACTGCGTGTGGAATAGAACTTGTGATGGACTAACAAACGGCAATAACAAGTATTGTCGCACGACATACGTTTCGTCGTACAGATGCTGACGCGGTCGACGGCTCATTAGGTGTGCAGATTAAACTCGGATGGAGAGCCTAGGATTAAAATTAAAAAAAAAAGAGGACCATAGGTTTACAAATTATCCGTTTTGTCCAACACTAACGATTCTAAGCAGGATACTGTTGATTCAAAATGTGCAACAATTAGCACAAAACTGAGTGATGTGATAATGACATTCAATGACCTGATGCTCAGCTGCATCACGTCTGGCGTGCACCAGCCTTCCAACTTGGAAGGTTCAAGTTATGAAGAAACGTAAGGAAGCGGAAGGTGAGCGCACTCTAGACGAAAACAAGCTAAACATCATAGCGAAATAAGAATGTTGGCTATGACAAGATGATGATGAAGGACTAAGGACCACAGCATAGGACGGCCACGGCTCACTTCGAAAACGCGAAACAACGACCACCCATCTTGGGAGGTAATTGTTGCACATTTTGACTCAACAGTATCCTGCTTATAATCGTTAGTATTGGACAAAACGGATAACTTGTAAATTTATGGTCCTCTCTTTTCTATGGGAAGAGTGTGTTGCTCCCTACATGGAAGCTCGCGGTTTTCCTGCCGACTTGACTGACTCACGACTGCCATCCAGAGCACACGAGAAGTCCATCGAACCGTCCACTCGGCAAACCTGCAAGAAAGCACCACTCCCTGCTCAATACACAGTGTTTCGGGGAATTCACCCCTCATCAGTTGAGCTTGAGTAGGCTGAGGAAGATTATGCCTGAAGAGCACCACTAAGATAGTGCTCAACCTCTTCTTCACATTGTTGTCCCCAGCGCGGGCTTGCGAATTAGATGGTTTGGAGGCAACAACGTTGTGAATGGCCAACAGTCCTCAGCGCTTGTTCAGCACCTCCATGAGCAACACTGACTCACGCTGCTATCTGGTGTTCACAAGGTATTTGTCGCGCTGGAAACGGAGCGTCTCTGTAAGTTTGTGTCCCTGGTGATGTTTGTGCCTGGAGAGCACTATATAAGTGGTGCTCTTCAAGCACAATCTTCCTCAGCCAGGAAAACCGCGAGCTCCCATGTAGGGAGCAACAGACTCTTCCCCTACTATCGCCGAAGTCGCACCAACCTCTCTTTTCTAAAATTAATCATAATAATAATCTTCGTTTATATGTACATGTAGCTACGTAGTGGTAGATTTTTTGCCCAGACGAGACCACACGACGCTTGCAGACACCAGCACGACAATTTCACCAGCCACACTCCACGACAGCTAGAAGTTGCTTCTTAGAAGCCTTGTTTCGTTCCATGATGATGACGGGAACTCATGTGCTCTCATTCCATATCTGCCTCTCCTCTGATGAGTTCCCGCCATCATATTGGAACGAAACAAGGCTTGCAAGAAGCAACTTCTACATGTACATGTACAATGTAGCTGTTGTGGAGTGTGGCTGCTGGTGTCTGCAAGCGTCGTGTGGTCCCGTCTGGTCTCAAGAAGAATCTACCACTACTATTTGATTACTATTGACTGACTGGAGCTAATGAAGATGGCTTCCACAAAATGAATTACTCTTCGTATGGTTCTGCCACTTACTATTTCACTGCTTTCGAGCAGAATCTGCCAATGGTTCGAGCGCTACCATGGTTACACGCCAAGGTGTACATGTACCTGCATTGCCACTACGAGCATGCCTTTGTGTGAAATGCAACCGTGGAGTAGATCTACATTCTACATGATTGTACGAGTACGAGTGTCGGCTTGCTGCCTGCACAAAAATTGAAATCCGATCACGTAAAGCCGGTGAATGCCAGTGTGCAGCCCCTTGGCCTTGTGAATGCCAGTGTGCACTGTGCAGCCCGGGCCATGGCCTTGACCAGGGAGTCGTATATACATCATGTACATGATTGTACATGTACCCGGGTATACGAATCCCCTGGCCTTGACCTGTGAACTGCGAACACTAGGATTTGAACATGGTGATCCATGGACGCATGGTGGGTGAACTGGTGCCAGCCCATGCAATGAATGGTGGATAATGCTCTAAAAATCATTGGCAGATTCTGCTCGAAAAAGCAGTGAAATTGGCAGAACCATGCAAACCTTATGGTAGGCACTTCCTTGAATTCTGCTCCATTTCTTTATCCACATACCAAACATGCATGAAACAGACCAGAAAAGGTACCGCATTCTGCCAATTTTACTGCCGGCATTATCATGATTGATTATCATCCAAGGCCAGGGCTGCCTGGTACGGGTTACAGCAGCAGGCCTGCAGGGCACATCGATTCACTAAGACTGAAATCCGATCAAGTAGTGACCACGCAGGCACAGTGACCATGATTGAGATACGAGACGTACCTGGTTCAAGTCCTGCCTGGGAGCGGTTTTTCCAGCCGTGCTGTTGTTGTTGTTGTTGTTGTTGTTGTTGTTGAGTTTCATTTAAAAAAAGTCGCAACACAACATGCTGCTACCCACAGTCAACTGGGAGCTTACCTGTGGCCGGGCACAAGCATGACAAGGGTACATGGATGCAGCTAATGGGGTTTCTCGGCACTTGTGCCAGCTAAGGTGGTTGTGAAACTATTACTTACTTATCCTCGCACCCCCACCGTTAGGCGCTGCATCTGCCGCTAGGGTTTACCGGTGTTAGCGGCCGTCGTGAGTTCCCTTCGGGAACGGACACGATAATTAATTTTATTACATGGAAAATCGTAATTTACTAAGTAGTGATCGGATTTCAGTCAGCAGGACGCGTGTCAACTGTCATCATGCCCGTCCATGTCCTTTCAACCAGTTACCTTTGAGTTTGATCGAGTCTGACTTGTCTTTATCATGCACAGAGAAGCCCTGCATGCCTGGCCTGGACAAATAGGTGTGCTAGTTGTCCAGGCAACCAGGCCGATGCCATTACCAGGGACAACGGATGAAACTGCGATCGCGAAGCCAGGGAAAAGCGGCAAATGACCGCGATGTCAGACGTGTCACTATGGCATGCAGTGATCATGGTGATGCATGTCAATCACACTGCACTGCACTGCTAGTGGCGCTAGTGCTACTGTGCTAACTACACAAACGCGCTAGCGTCATCAACTACTTTTTACTGACTTCAAGTCAGATCAAAATCACTCGCATCCTGAGCAGAGATGAGAGTCCAGGCCGTTCAGTTTTTCAATTATTTTCTAACAAGCAGGATTCAATGTTGGTGTGACAGCGCTAATTACTTCTTCTACAGAAGCAAATGATTGGTCCGTACTACAGGTCCCGTAATTATTTCTGTACCGAACACTCATTACTAAACAGTCAGCGTCTGGTGGTGGTCTTGTACGTGTGGAGTTGGACGTGCCGGGAGAGGATCAGGGTTTCTCTTGAGCTCTGCCACGGTGCATCTTGATACTAATTCAAAGTATTATTCGCGTCGGTCTGCTTGGCAGTTTGTTCCGCTGCTCGATTTGTTGAAGAAAGGCGGTGTTACATCGCAGATCTACGCGTTCAGATCGCCCAGTGCATGTAGCAGAGCTGGCTTATTGCTAGTGGCGGGCTGCGCGTGGCAGCTGACGAAGACGTGTATTGTTGTTGGGCAAACCGGCACCACTTGAGAGCGTCAGCAACATGGTGAGTGAGTGCCAGTGGCTAGATGTACTTGTACTGACAGCCTATCTAATCATTATTAGGAAGCTGGGTTAATTGTTCATTTAGCGTGATAACGCATCGTTTCCTGCACGATTCCGGTCTGCCTTACTGCTATTATTAGTATTAGCAGCAGCAGATCATGCCAGTTTCTCGGATGGGAGTGAGGACTTTTGCACACAGGGAGAGGGAGAGAATGGCTGGCGGTTTCACTGCAAGTCTCACACACACACACACACACACACACACACACACACACACACACACACACACACACACACACACACACACACACACACACACACACACACACACACACACGTTGACACTGGGCCCTGAGCGACCACTGTGCACTGTCTGATCGGACTAAGTGTGTAACTGGTTCTGAGACTGCGTGACACAATGATACTCCACTCGTCTCCAGGCTCTGGCTGGCATGCAGCAGGCTATGTACCACTTATACCCATACTCCATAACCAACCCTGGTCACAGCCAGTCCATTACTAGTACTACCCCAAGCAGCAGCAGCAGCAGCAGCAGTGGTGTAGTGTGGACCTGCCTAGCGGCAGCAGAAGAAAATGACGACCACCCTTGGCACTGATAGCAGAATACGGGTTATATTAAATTTTATACTATGTGGGTATCTCTGCTTGAGCATCACACACCTGCGCATAAGCTCAATGCAGTGCTGCTGGTTTACAACATAGTCTCTGTGTGGTGCTTCTGTTCATGATCTGCTATCCCTGTCAACATGGCAGCCTCCAAAAAAGCCAAAAGGAAAAGGCAAGGGAAAGGCCAAGAAGAAGAAGCAGAAGGAGCCGGCCATGATCGATGGCGTACCAGCATCTGAGATGACCAAAGAGCAGGTGAGTGTTTTGTATTTCTCAGCGTCATCTTCATGTCCGGGTTTTCGTAGTGCACAACCCGTTGCTATACGCATTACATGTACAAGGTGCCTCTGTGCCAAACAGGGAGCCATATGTGGTGGCTGTGGCGACTGTCAGACTGATCTCAGTGTCCCCATATACACTGTACAGGTCACGGTAGCCTAGCACTAGGTACATGTACACTGTGCCTGGTTGACTACTCATGTGCATACGGAGGGCTGTGATGCGGAGTGTGTTTATGGCCACCCACCCACACGTTACGCCATACGAAACTAGGTTTAGGAGCGATTTAAAACAAACTCTTAGCAGAAATAGTCACACCCCCCCCCCCCACACACACACATACGTCCACGTACTGAGAAAAGGAACGACGTTATAAAAGTCATGTAGTTGAGTGTACTTTATACAAATAAGTTAGGTGGACAGAACTTGCTCTGGTGGTTTTTCATTAAAATCCTTCACATAGCTCTTTGGGTCAATCTGAAATTTTCGATTCCTGGGAAAACAGGTGGAATCGAAGACAGGTGTTGAGCCTGATTTACAAAGAAGCCTCCAGAAATTGAACACCCCCCCCCCCCCTTTGGTTTCCAGCTTTGTTACAAGTTCACCCAGGACGATAAAAATCCCGTTATTGTCTCCCGTTGGTGGATAGTGTCGCGGTCAGCTGTATTATTTGGTAGCATGTTTCATAGCATCACCGTGTGGCAATGTCACTGTAAATGGCCACTGGTGTGTGGGGCATTGTGAAATGGTGGGCTGGCGTTAGGTGAAGCAGCCCTGCATATTTGTCTGCAGGAGCCATAGCCAGCAATCGCATGTCATCACGTATATTGAAAATCAACATAATTTTGCGAATCGACCTTTTTTCAGCATCACTTTTCAACGAGGACGAAGCAAAGTCGGCTGAATGAAGCCTAGAGGAAGAAAATCACCCTCTCCACTTCACCATCACGATACTGACATAGATACGAGACGAAACAACTAAAAAAATCCACAAGAAAACTGTACGGCCATCTTCGCGCTGACTTTGGTCTGAGGATTTTCTAACACGATCAAAAATGTACGAGGAGCACTCAAAAATAAGCTACAGACGTACCTTTATCGCTCTCTACCGTGACTGCTCTCGAATCTGGGTGCATTATATGAATGTGTGTGACGGTGCTGAAAGGGAGTGGGGGGGGGGGGGGATGATACAGTCACTGGAGGTGTTAGCCTGAGTGTGATAATAATACTACTGTCACTACATAGGGTATTAGCATTGTGTTCGGGTCACCGAGATTACAAGGTCTATTGTGCGGAGTTTATGGTGTATGCCTTAGCGTGTATAGTGCAGCGTGTATGCTGTAGAGTGCGTGGCGTAGAGTGTTGAGTTTAGGAGACGGCTAACGCATACCCACCCTATGTGTATGAGGTTGTGTAACATTACAGGCCCTTTCTTGCTCTTCCCAGCTGATTGTATGCTATTTTGGAGAATTTCGCGTGAAAGTCGCGGGTGGAGAGGGGTTGGAGACGGCATGGGTTATCTATTGTGTTATCAAATTGTCGGGCACGCCATGAAATGTTTTGCTGCACCAAGTCCAGAGCATAACCAGTGGGCTAAGCTTGTCTGTGGTTGTGGTGATATACCCGTTGGTCCATTCACCCATTACTCGTGGTCCATTCGTCTTCGTTGAAGTCGAGCTAATTTGGATTGGCGTCTCTGTTCCTCCTGGACGGATCTTGGATCTTATCATGCGAGCTATAAATAATATGTACCTGTTGTACCGTGGACATGCAGTTGGGGCTTGTAGGGTAGAGGAACCGTATTGTTATCAGTTTACCCACTGTCGAGAGAGATGCAGATATTCTATTTGTGGCAGGGGTATTGGTGATGATACTACCAGATACCATTCAAGTATTAATCCACTGTAATCACATTCTATTCACGGTGACCAGGTGACCAGGCGTCGCCATAAACACTATAGAAATTAAAATATAGCTTACCTTTGTGATGTGCTCCTTGGTGCTGGGATGCTGAGTCGGGGTTCAGCTTCCACGTAAGCCTTGCTCTGCAGTCTGGCAGCGACGTAGGTTGTACCATTGGGCTGCCCGGGTCAGCTATGGCGTGCCAGTGCAGCTACTAACATTTTCCAGCTTTGACCATAGGCTCTGTTTTCAATGATTTGGCAACTGGGAATGTTGAGTATTCCAGGGAACCTCTCCAAACTTCAGGCATGCAGGTTGAATCACAAGGATCCTAGATATTGTTGAAAGTATGGTGACTGGTACTGCAGCACCCTGCTAGTGACACTGACCTCTGTGTTGCTTCAGGACCAGGGCCAGGGGTAGACCAGCCTTGTGGGATATATTATGACACTCTCAGGAGACACTTTATCATGCCATGTGATTTCCCCCCATGGACCCCCGAAGAGTGTTTGAGGGGTGTACATACAAACCAGTGGTGGTTGTGTCTGATTTTTGATGGTACAGCTGGTTGTCTGATGCTGTGATCCGATGTGTACTGATATGTCTCGCTTTGCAGTGATATCACTAGCTGTGACGGCCACTGCTGCTGCTGCTGTTGGTGCCGGCGTGATGCTGGCACTAGTGATTCTGCTCCATCCCTGATCATGTAGTGGTTCTACCTGGGCTAGCACAATGTATTACGCTGTGCATCCACTAGCACTGTGCTGCCTGGTCTGGCTCTGGCTCTGTACATTGCTAGATGATGGTAACGAGCATTCCTCAGCCGGCTTCAACCTAGCTAAGCATGGAGAGTAAAGAGAGAGAGAGAGAGAGTGTGTGTGTGTGTGTGTGTGTGTGTTTGTGTGTGCCACGGTGTGTGTGTGTGTATGCATGTGTGTGTGTGTGTGTGTGTGTGTCACTGTGTGTCACTGTGTGTGTGTGTGTGTGTGTGTGTGTGACAGTGCCCGCAACCTGCCACACGTATACTCATTATAGTCTTTGCTAAGTTGGGTTTGTACATCCCGAACACTATGAGAGTGCCGAGGAGTCTAGAGGAGTCTAGTATCAGCCGGTATAGACAGTAATGGGGTGACGTGGGATGCCGGCGTGGGCTTGTAAAGTTACAATCTGTACAGGGACCTTATTGAGCAGGCATTTCAGTATCCCGCCGCCTTTCTTCATGCATGAGTTGCCTACTTAGGCTGTTTCCATTGCATTTAATGTGCAACTCAGGGCAAGTAGCCAGCCTAAAGACCGGGTATTCATTCCCTGAGTGAGAGTCTTCTTATCTTCTAGCCATGTGGAATCAACGAGAAAGAAAGCATGAAAATGACAGTAATGTTTTGATTAGAATCCACTAGTAGCACCACTAACATGTGTATGCCTCTGCCTGCGCAGCTCGAGGACCACATCATGCGGATGCGAGATGAGCTGGATCGGGAGCGCGAGGAGAGGAATTTCTTCCTGCTGGAGCGAGACAAGATCAACGAGTTCTGGGAAATCAGCAAGGACGAGCTGGCGCAGACCAAGGCGGAGGTTCGCCTGCGAGACCGGCAGCTTGAAGAAGCCGAGGAGCGGCATCAAGTTGAAATTAAGGTGAGCAGCAAAGGTTCCCTATCTTTCTATAACATGTCTGCACCACCTTTACTATACGGAGAATAGTACATGACAGTTGGTGGCAGGGGCAAAGCTGCGGCTCCGTTTTACGAACATTCAAGTGGTGTTGTAGCTTAAGTTAAAGACAGGGGAAATATAAGTACAGCTACCAAGGTGGAAGAGGGTGAAGGACATGTTTGGATTGTCTGGAAAGTATGGCGTCCAGTAAAGACATGCGTCAGATACTAAAACAAACAAAATGTGCACCAATGATGTACAAGTACTGACCGGTTGTAAGGTCCCAGTCATAGATTCAGGGAACTGTGGGGAGTTATTGCATCAAATCATGAATAAATTATCCAGTGAGTTGTTGGCATTGCAAGAGTTTCCTGATGTTATGGTAATTATTGTTCAGTTGAGTGGGCTTGCTGACTCATCATCTTTGTGTTTTATTCCATGGTGCTCAGGTGTACAAACAAAAGGTGAAGCACTTGCTCTATGAACATCAGAACAGTATAACAGAGTTGAAAGCAGAAGGTAAGAGGCCTTATTTTAAATAGTTTAACAGAAATAGTTTTTAAATAGTTGCCTGATGATCGTAGTAATACGTGAACCTCAGAGTTGCGACACAGCTTCCAATCTCTCTTGTATTTAAAAAAATATATATATAACACAATACTGCATGGTCACTTGTGTTCAAAAGCTCCAACGTTCATTGTCTCTGCCTTGAGTTACGGATACATTGTACAATTGGGGTGCTCAGGCACTCTGTTTTCTATACGTTGAGCACTGCAAGGCTAGTGGACTGCATAATCACGGTGCACCATAAGAAGTATTTCATGGACAAGCGGATTGGAAATTCATTTTGAATTTGGTATTCTTGTCCCTGCGCAAGCAAGGTCCAGGCCGTGTGATTTAGTTCATCACCGATGGCACGCAAAGGTCCAGCAGGTTGAGGCAATATGCTACCTAAGAATCAAGGCTTGACTCTCTGGTGTCCAAAGGTTGCATTGAATTGAAAGACTTACCTGCCTACCTTTCGGGTCATGGGGGTGCTTCAGCATGCCGTCCACGATAAAATGCAACAGAAGGGCTGGTCATACCCTGGGAAAAGAATCCACGCAGGCTGCAGGAACACCGGTGCTTTTGGTGTTTGCTCAGCAACGGCAGTGGTGTAGAACAATGACCGTTTGCTGCTGCTTTCACTGGATTGTGATCAGGTTCTGTGTCCGTGAAGCTGGAGCAGGACGAAGACAGAAGGCTGCAGGCCACACTTCGCCGTGATAAGCGCCAGCTGAAGGTAAGGCTAAAGTAGTGTAGTGCTGCTGCAAAGCTGGCATTCAGGCAGAGTTAACACAGCATTGGTAGCTGAGGCACTTGCTGTGTAGGTAACATTGAAGAGCAATTACCAAGGCTGGGTGCAATAACAGCCGGGTGGACCATTGCCTGATCACCTTCAAAGCTGGAATTTTGCATTTTAGAAAGATTAAGAGAAACAAGACATGGTAAATTATGGTAGAGTCACATCAGAAATGGCAGAAGACCACATGGATGTCAAGTACACCAGTGTCTCAGGCCTTGTTCATCTGCTGGGTGCCAGTGCAGTTACCCAGCAACTAGCCACAACCCGAAGTAGCAAACATCAAACGAATTATCTAAATTGCGTTAGGCAGAGTTTCCAGCTTTTTCTTCTAAATGGTTCAGGGGACCTTGCTTGCAATCACCTTAGAACTACTAGCACTACTACTACTAGCAAGCACAGACATGTAGAGTGTCAAGCTGCCTGTTATGTTTTTTCCCTCCCCTGCTGTCACATGCCCTGGCCCCAAGTGACCATTTCCCTGGAACTACTCCAGCCTGTCCTCTTGACCCTGAAGTGGCCCAGTGCTGGCCCTGCCATGTGTGCATGTGTGTACGTGTCATTTTGTGGAACGTGCAGTATACCATGTCCCTGCTGAGGAATGACTGGGATATTCATGAGGAACTGACATGCCCTTCTCCCCCCCCCCCCTCCACACACACACACACACACACACACACACACACACACACACACGCATGCATTCCTGGAACCAATCAGTCACGTGTTAGACTGTAGTACACTGTAGTAGTACTAGTACTAGTAGTAGTAGCAAGAGTACATAAGCCCCAGGGTGTTGTAGTAAGGTTATGTACTATTGGTAGCAGTGGTAGTAGTAGTAGTAGCACTACGGCATGTACATGTAACCCAGGCAGCTGATTAGTATTGGAATAAAAAACAATTAACAGTGCAGGGTTGAGCTAACATCACTCTAATGCAATCATATAGAGCACTACATTCCTGTAATGCAATCATGTAGAGTATTACATTCATCCAGAACACAGGTGCTGTCTTTGACAATGACAGCCTTTAAAATTACATTAACCCACTCACTGCCACCACGTTGGGATTATGTGTGTGTGTGGGGGGGCACGTTCAAGGTGTGTGTGTGCGTGTGTGTGTGTGTGTGTGTGTGTGTGTGTGTGTGTGTGTGTGTGTGTGTGTGTGTGTGTGTGTGCGTGTGCAATGCCCGTGTTTGCAGAAGGGATAGGTGTGCTACCGGGGTGTGCCAGGAGAAAGTGGAACTGCCTTCTTGAGAACTAGTTCATGTGTCATGTTTTCTAACTCTTGACTGTTGAGGCCATACCAGCGGCCATCACTAATCCCCATATCAGCCGCATACTTATGATAGAGATATCAGCGCTGGCTCTCTTAGCAGCTATTTGATGGGATGTGGTCTGCTTTGAAGTGACGTCTCTCAGTCCAGGATGTGAGATGTGAGAGAGAGTCTGGCCCGGGTTCATACTCCAAAGCCCCGTTCCACTTTGCCCCTTTAGATCAGGCTCCTAGAAACTAGAAAGGCTTTTGCTCCTACACATATCCCCACCCCTGTGTGGGTGACTTTAGAATATTTCAGTTGCAGTGATTGTAATGACCAGACTGTGACACCAGTTCTTGTGTCACAGTCAGAAACTCCATTTGAAAGTAGACGGGTGGAACAATTAGCTCCTGTCATGAACTGTCCTGGAGTACTGTGCTTCACCCATCCATTAGTCACTGTGTCCATAGTGCACAACACATCAACCGTGTGTGTGTGTATGTGTGTATGTGTGTGTGTGTGTGTGTGTGTGTGTGTGTGTGTGTGTGTGTGTGTGTGTGTGTGTGTTCACGATCAATCCACTCGTGTGTGTGTGTGTGCGTGTGTGCGCGTGCATGCATGTGTGCACATACATGCGTGTGTGCATGCGTGCACATACATACGTGTGTGCATGCGTGCGTGTGTGTGTCTCTGTATGTGCATGCGTGTACACGTATCTTCCTTGATGATAGGTTGACCAGAAGGAGAGTGAACTGGCTCACATAGAGCTTGTCAAGACTCTAAAGAAGGTTAGTCGGAAGCAAAGTCCTGTTTATGCCGCAACAATGCATATTGTGCACTAGATTGTGCCCATAGCATAAGACCCCAATTGCAATACATGTGCTCCTTTAACTCTTTATCTTGATTTTTCAATTGTTTGCTCAGGCTACTGTTGCTTAGGGGTTAGGAGTATGTGACCAAGTCATGACCGTCTCATTCCTACACACCTACAAGCCAGTCATCATTGATATAGGCCACTGTGACCCACACGCATATATTCCTATGTGTGGTTATATGCCACTGTGACCCACACGTATATATTCCTATGTGTGGTTATATGCCACTGTGACCCACACACATATATTCCTATGTGTGGTTATATGCCACTGTGAAGACCATAATATACTAGTACATTTCCTTTGTGTGCCTATACATGTACATGTATGCCACTGTGACCTACATGACTGTATATTCCTATGTGTGCCTATATGCCACTGTGACCTACATGACTGTATATTCCTATGTGTGCCTATATGCCACTGTGGCCTACATGACTGTATATTCCTATGTGTGCCTATATGCCACTGTGGCCTACATGTTTGTAGGAGCACGAAGAAGACCTGAAGCGTGTTCAGGATGAATTCTCACTGCAAGCCGAAGGTAAGGACGGTGTCACTGTCTGTGAATGAGTACCCGCATGGAAGCCTTCTAGCTGTTTTTCTAAGAATTTTCGCGCTCCAGTGCAGTCATGGACACGTCTCTCGGATTCAACACACAAACCAAATGGGTTCTGTGCTGCAACAAAGGGCATTGTTCCCTTACCAAACTTTGGGCATAGCCCATCCTCGGGGTGGCAAGGGGACTGATGATCGTTAGATACTTGTTAAAACAGAGCTTCTGAGGGCATTGGTAGTCTGGGGGAAAGAACCGAACCTTTGCCAGTGGGGCATTGCTATGCCGGTTGGGGAAGATTCTTGATTGGCTGAGCATCCATGTCGGGAGGCTGTGCATTCTGTCTTGGCTTGCAAGAGGACGCTGCCAGAGCTTAGTGCCCGCCTACTTCTCAGCCAAACTTCGGATCACAATATTGTACATAGTGATACATGTGCTTTTACGCATGGAGTATTGACTGCCTGAGGTTCGCACACTACTTGTAGAATGGCACGTACAAACGTTGCACACAATTTTCCAGCATATGCTATGCCCGGATGATAATGGTAGGTGTTTGTGCAAAGGTTTAACCATGCCCTGTTATCAATTAGCCCTTTTGAAAACTTGCTTTATCCAATCTGTCTGCATCATGGACCAGTAGAACCGATTGTCATGGGAACGTGGCTGTGTGTATGACAGTGAAGTGAATCACGTGCTATTTGCTCAGTTGAACAGCTGGTGTCTGTCTACATGATTGTATTCTCTGTGGGTTTGTTATTGATGTTTTTAGAGTTGCGTGATCGTTACGAGACCAAGATGAAGAACTTGCGCGAGGAGCTTGATGTGATGCGCAAGTCGCAGCTGCATGAGATTGAGCAGGTAGGGACACAACTCATCAACTCATTCCAGCCTCATGATCAGACAATGCAGGGCGGGCCGGGGAACCGGTCCGGTTGGTCAGGCCATGGCCGGACCAACTTTTTGACCAGCAATGGGTGTTTACTGCCGAGGAGGTCATGTGCACTCGCCATATCATACACAAACTGTATCAACGGCTGTGATATGGCCGGATCAATCAAAAACTGCCTCCGCCGGTCCTGCAGTGAATAGGTGTAGTTTCAATAAGACGCGTTTACGACAAACCACTGGACAAGAAAGTTGTACGGTGTTGTCCAGGTTATCTTATATGTACAACCATACACTACTCACACACAAAATAACTTTCCGCATTGCCGAGATTATCAGTAACTGAAGCTAACTGTAGACTGGATTTCTTGGGTCTCTCCATCACTGAGTTAGTGAGTTAGTAGTAATACTATGACTAGTGCAAACTAACACCTTTAACGGTACTGTGTTCTGTGAACATTCATAAGCATGTTGGCTGTGTCGAGGGCAAGGTGGTGTGATGTTGTATAGACATTATGCGATTGCATCATCAGTTGAGGTGCTTTGGCAAAGTTGCGGCACAACGATGCCCTAGCGACTCGCGCTGTATGCATGTACATAGCACACATAAGCGGTTTGGCTGACTCGTCACCATGACATTGTTTGCATAGCCTTTCTAACGTTATAAGTATTGTGTTGTGGGCTCTTGGCCGTAATGCAAACAGCTAAAGTGCTACTTTGAAGTATTTGGAATCAAGCACATCAAGAACATTTCGTTCTCCTTTCCTCCTCCATGCCGCAGAGAAAGAACGAGCAAATCAACCAGTTGATGAGAAACCATGAGAAGGCATTTGCGGAGATCAAGGGCTACTACAATGATATCACACTGAATAACTTGGCCCTGATCAACCAATTGAAGGTACGAGTACTGTATGCGTGTAGTCTGAGATGAGTCCATGCTTGAGCGTGCCCATATCTTAGTTTCCACTGTCACACGTTCACATCCACATATAGTACAATCATGCAGTTTGTTAGCCATGGGAGACACGGATGTTAGTGGCAACCTTTGTGCTACCATTTTGACCTGCCATTTGTCCCTGAGTCATTTCCTAGATGGCCGCAAAGTGATGAAGAGCTTCTCAGTTGTGATGTCAGTGACGGAGCTTAACAGCACATACACACACTGCAGCTACACATTCTCACAGCTTTTCATACCTTCTCCTGGCATATATACTGGCATGGTCGGCACCCAAACTTCATGTTGCCTGACGATTGCGAGAGCATGAAACTTCAAGTCGCAGCAAACAAGCCTTGATTGTCCTTGTTGTTCTGTTCTACACTATAGCTACATGTATCAGAACAGCACTCACCCTATCATACAGATTACACCACTTCCATTGCAATCGTGTACATCCTACAGCTGATTACAACATTTCCATTGCAATCGTGTAAATGCTGGGTGCCAGTACACTAACAATAATCGCCAGCTCGAGTAGCCACTTAAGTGTGCATTGGAAATGCCCAGCAGCACTGCTGCATGATCATGTAGAGTGACGTAGCACAGAAGAGGTTGTACAGCTTACATTGTATCACTGATTAATTCTTCAGGTGTCAGTGAACACTGTCACAGTCTACAGAACTGTGTAGATTATCTGGTTAGGATTTGAGATATCTAAGGAAGGACACCAAGATACACTAGACAGTCACGTGTTGAATGCTAAATACCAGTGCGGTGTTGAAGTGATGAAATCCCTTTTAATCGACTCCCAAGATCCTGGACAAGACTTCTAATTATCTGAACGGTTAAAAGACGTGAACAGATACAGGTCGGTCTCCAGGAAGTCTTTGAATACCATCAATACTGGTGTACTTGGACAAATTCGAATTACAGGGTATTTACTGCAGTAGCCAAGGCTGTGCTTTGATTTATGCTGACGTACAGATACCACCCTTGGAAGGGGGCGAACCTCGTTAGTTGCATCTATGTTGCCCTCGCTCCGAGTAGTCAGTACCCAGTTGGCCATGGGTGTTGGCGCAGTTCATTGCATAAATCGTTCACGCATGCATCACCGCATTTGTTAGCACAGTACACGCTCCCTGCTCCCAGCGGGGGTCTCGAACTCCGGACCTTGTGATTCGCAGACAAGCCAACAACTACTCGGCCAAGGAGATATGTTTAATGATCCATGACACTCTAAACCAACACTTGGTGGTACACAGCTGGCCTGTGGAGACTGTTTCACATGTACGCCAGCTTGAAACCAGATTGAAGGTGGTCTATATTTGGTGGCATGTGATAAGAAGACTCGCTGAGACTTTCAGAGTCGTCTGCTGATCACAGCAGAGGCGCCGTTGCATGTGCAAATTTGAAAAAGATGACTTTGCTACTGGCTCTGATGATACTGGTTCCTCTGTGCTCACATGTGATAGGAGCAACTGGAAGCTTTGAAAGGAAAGAACGAAGGTTTGGAGAAGCAAAATGCTGATCTGCAAGCCCAAAACCAGAAGATTCGAGAACCTATGGATGCGGTGAGTGTGCACGGCAGGGCTAGATGTTCTTCCTAGATTTCTGATTGTTGTTGCAGAAATTGCCACGTCGCATTCTACACAGTCAGCTGAAGTTTGTCCCTTGTGATATTTCCAGTGTCCATGGTGGCCCTAACCTTGACCATGATTTTATTCAGTGATTGATTTTGGAGGAGATCGTAACAGACCTTCGTGTAAGAAAATCCAGGAGAGTGAACAATCACTCTCGCTATCCTCTCAAGGAGAGTGGTGGGAGAGCAGTCCCCACCAGCCTCCCCCCCCCCCCCAAAAAAAAAGTCGCTCGCCTTACCTATCCAAGGCGAGCACAATACGGTTGTTCAGGTGATTCTACTCTCTCATGCATTCAGTGTTATAATTACTATCCAGCTCTGTCCGACTTGTGTTCAGTTGCCTGCATGCTCCAGTTTGTGTTTGTCTAGGATCTGCTGTGTGCGTTTCATCTCTCTGTTATGTCTGTAGTGATCTTGTGTCTTGGTGCCTGAGGCGCGCTTGCTGTCACGCATTCATGTATTCATGCTCTGATGTCTAGACTTTCACTTGCGCGTGCGCTGCGTGCGTGTGCCGGCTCTTTTCCCGTGTATCTATGCATTATGTTGCTACACTACAGTTCCGGCTTATAGTTCCGTTTTGAGTCGGACTTTTGACTTTAGTTTTCTCAGCTGTTGCTGTTGTGCTTTTAGTTGTTTTCAAGTCAGATTCCTTTTTCCTTCTCTGTTGTTGCTCATGATTATCAAGACTGTAAAAGTATGGAAGTAAGACAATAACTCCAGTGTGAGTTTATGAGCTATTGTTGGTAGTTTGGGTGCTTGCATCCAAACATCTGGTCCTTCGAGCCGGATCAGTGGATCCGAATCGGTTCGAGAGTTGTCATTTCGTAGATCTACCAGTGCAGTGATTAGAGAAATGGCGGAACCTAGAAAAAGTAGCAGGAGCACGAAAGGTGTTCCCCCAGTAAGGTTCAGAGAGCCTGAGGCAGAGCTAGACGATACGAAGAGTAGTGTCTCTTCCCTGACATCGTCCGCTTCCTCTACTGCTTCCAGGCGTCGCAGAGCGGAGTTGAAGGCGGCGGTGCGGCTAGCAAAGCTGGAGCAGGAGTTTGAAGTCCAGCAGCTCAAGCGACAGAAAAGAATCCTGCAGCTGGAGCTAGACGCCGAGTTGGCTTCCATTGAAGGAGACGAACTAGAGTCAGAGGGACGTCCGGAGGAGACGGAGCCGTCCACTGACGCGTCATTTCAGACCTGCGCTGAGAGCCTGGCGTTGTTTGCGCGGAAGATGGCGGCGTCTGATGATGAGACTGACGATGACGACCAGGCAGTCACGGAGCGAAGCGTCTCCGCTGGTCCTCCCGCTGCAGGTTTTGTAGCTCAAGCGTTCAAAACCGACGACCGGTTGAACGGGGAGCTCAAGTCTGAGACTCTCCAGAGCCGTGGCGTTTCTCGCCTTGATGGAGATGGCTCCACCGCAGACAAAGCGACCGAACAGCAGGACAGCGTTCCTGCTGAAACACAAGTGTCCACCCCTGTCGGTGTTGACAGGACGCCAGCTCCGGTCGCTGTAGGGCTTGACAAGCCTAGTGGTAGTAGTATGGAGATTACTCCAGTAGTACAAGGTCATTTGGGAAGATCGTGGCCTCAGGCAGCTTCAGATACAGCACGTGGAAAAGCTGACAGAGTGAGCAGCTGGGTACAGGGCGTTCAGAGTGCACCCTTCAGTGGTATCAGCCAACATCAGATCCAGCCACTGGAACTACCCAAGTTTGATGGTTCACAGAAGAACTACATCAGGTGGAGGCAGAAGTTTCTGAGGCTGGTGGACGACGACCACATGGTCTCAGAAGATTACAAGATGGCCCGTCTAAGGGAAGCTCTAGAAGGTGGCACGGCAGATGACCTGATTGCGGATCTGCTGGATGGCCCTGGCGCATACAGCGCTGCGCTCAAGGAGCTAGATGAGTGGTATGGGAGTAATGACCGCGAGCTCGAGCGCCAACAGCAGGAACTTCTAGCACTTCCACGGATCACCTCAGAAAGGGACTCCGACAAGCTGCAGCAGTTGGCCGTCAGACTGCGGAATGTTCTGTTGAACATGTCAACTGCCAGTTTAACACCAGGCCGTGATCTTTACATCGCAATCACGCAGAAGCTTCCCCGCGGGATGTTGACGAGGTTTGTCGAGTCTCATGACGATTCTTTAACGAACGTGAAGACACTATCCACCTGGTTGATGAAGCGAGTGCACACCCTGCGTCAAGTTGATGCCAGGCTGACCGAGTCTGACCAAGATCAGAAGAAGCCTGCACTGTCCAAGCCACCGCAGCGTCCAGCTCAAAACCGACCATGGAACCCTAGGGGGGCGGAGCGATCGTATGCTGCCGGTCCCCCCAAGCAGAGTGCACAGTGCCTGAAGTGCAGCGGCAGTCACCCCCTGGAGCGGTGTCCTGCCTTTGAGAAGATGTCTGTCCCTGATCGCTGGCAGCTAGTCAAGAGCAGTAGTCTGTGCATCTGCTGTTTCCGGCCCGGGCACAGAGCGTACAAGTGTGACACCGGCAAGTGTACGGTCTGTCAGAAGACGCATCATGCTATGCTGCACATAGAGCAAAAAGGGAGCGCTTCCAACACACGCACCACCGCAGGAGCGTCCGCCAACGGCACGCCTACAAGCGAGAAGGTGACCTACCATGCCAGTGCAGACTCAGTCCTGCACCCGTCTAGCAGCACAACGTTCATCGATGATGGGATCTCATTCATGACTGTGCCAGTATTGCTGAAGAACGAGGACCGAGTGGTCGAGTGTACTGCTCTCTTCGACTCTGGGTCGACAGCCAGCTACATCCAGAAGGACGTTGCAGATCTTCTTGGCATCCAGCCAGCATCGCAACCACTGAAGGTCCAGACGCTAGGAGGGAACAGCGTCAGCACAGATGCAACCCAGTCGACAGTCACCATCTCCAGCAGCGACGGGAGCTATGTTTCCTCATTGGACGCTTGGGTCTTGCCACAGGTAACTGGAGACTCCAACATCATCGAGTGGCACGCGCGCAAGAGTAGTTGGGACCACCTACGAGAGATCGACTTCCCAGTTTCCCATAGTAAGAAGATTGGTATCCTCATCGGCCTCAATGCTACGCCGCTCCACAAGGCTCTGGAGGAGAGATGTGGCCCACCCGGCAGTCCAGTGGCACGACTCACCCCGCTCGGTTGGGTGTGCTACGGCCCGACATCAGCTCAGGCTGACCCAGCTCGTGTGGCCACCCATTGTGCTGTCCGTCTACCGAGTGACAGCGTGGAGCAGGCGGACGATCGCTTGGACGACCTGGTGAAAGACTTATGGAATGTCGAGAGTGTCGGTCTCGGAGTCAGCCCAACGTACCGAACGCCAGCCGAACAGGAAGCAGAAGCCATGACGACCGCGACCTTGTCGTATAGCGGTGGGCGGTACTGTGTCGGCATCCCATGGCGCAGCGCGGATGGCCCGAAGGTGCGGAACAACCGGCCAATGGCAGAGCGCCGTCTCCGTAGCCAAGAAAGAAGTCTTGAACAGAAGCCGCACATCGCGGCAGAGTACAACCGCGTCCTTGTATCGCACATGGCAAAAGGGTACATTAGGCAAGTGCCAGCAGAAGAGGTAGCTGCGGATGGAGAAGATCAGTGGTTCGTTCCGCACTTCCCCATCGTTCGCCAAGACAAGGTCACCACCAAGGTGCGGGTGGTGTTCGACGCGGCCGTCTCTTGGAGTGGATGTAACCTCAACGAGGAGATGCACGCAGGCCCACCACTGCAGAGCGACCTTGTACACATCCTGCTACGGTTTTGTATGGAGCCAGTGGCAATCGTCGCCGACATCAGCGAGATGTTCCTTCAAGTTGGCCTCCGGCCAGACGACAGGAAGTACACCAGATTCCTGTGGCGAAAGGACAACAACAGCGAGCCCGAAGTCTTTGAGTTCAACAGACTGGTTTTCGGGATGAAGGCATCGCCCTACCTCGCCACCAGAGCGTTGCGACAAACGGCGGAGGATTTCTCCAGCAGTGACCGAGACGACAGCATCGACATTCCAGCGCTGGTCAACAAGGCTTTCTACGTCGTGATCTTCTACACGCTACCCAGGACGAGTCCCAGGCAGTAGAGATTCAGCAGAAGTTGGACGCAACACTCAGCAAAGGCGGCTTCCACTTGCGCAAGTGGCACAGTAATTCAGCAGCCGTGCTCGACGCTATCCCACCAGCAGACAGAGCACCCCAAGCCCAGGTCATGTTAGAAGACGCGGCTTGCAACGCACCGCCTGTTTCCAAGACTCTTGGAGTGACCTGGATGGCAGACAAGGATCAGTTCACGTTTGTGTATAACGCGCCAGCCGAGGACTATGCCATCACGAAGAGATCGGTCCTGCGGAAGATGGCGACGATCTTTGACCCGCGCGGCCAGCTGCTACCGTTCACCATCAGAGCGCGGATCCTGTTTCAAGAGGCCTGTATTGCCGGCCATGGTTGGGATGACCCTCTCAGCACAACAGAGGTGAAGAAGTGGAAGACGTGGTTCGCGGAGCTACCGGACCTCACCTCAGTGTCAGTTGACCGTTGCTTCAAGCTTGCAGGAGCACTCCCACAACCATGTGCCACTGAGGTTCACACCTTCACGGACGCGTCCGATGCAGCGTTCGCTGCGGCATCGTATGTGCGAGTCACCTACCCAGACGGACAAGTGAAGGTCACGCTGTGCATGGCAAAGAGTCGTCCAACGCCAATCAAGAAGATGTCAATTCCGAAGCTCGAGTTGAAGGCAGCGGCCCTGGGCGTACGTTTGAGCACGGAGGTCGCCACAGCTCTTGACATCCCAGTAGCGCACCACTTCTTCTGGACGGACAACATGAATGTTCTGTTCTGGGTGCGTTCTCACAGTCGCAAGTTCGCCACAGACGTCGGTGTGAAGATAGCGGAGATCCAGACAGTGACCTCTGGTAAGCAGTGGCAGCATGTGCCCGGCAAGTCAAACCCAGCAGACCTCCCAACACGCGGAATGACAGCTTCAAGTCTCGCAGCGTGTGACGAGTGGTGGCAAGGCCCGAGTTTCTTGCAAGCGCCGCCGTCAGAATGGCCGAACCGTGACATCGTTGTGCCGACGAATTTGCCTGGAGAAACCAAGCGCCACCAAGCATCGTCCCTGCTAGCCACCGGTCCGAGCATTGACCGCCTCCAACCAGATCGATACAGTTCCTGGATTCGCCTGAAGCGTGTCACTGCGTGGTGCAGAAGGTTCTTTCGGCACGCCAGCAAAGGGAAATGCTGCAGGCAGGACACACCGCAGACTGGAGGATCGGCAGCGGTGGAAGGCACCATGGTGTCCCTCGAATACCAGCGTACGAGAAAACCGCAGAAGTTTCTCGTGCAGCCCCTCACAGTTACTGAACTGGAGTCAGCTGAAGATGTGTGGTTCGCTAAGGCTCAGCAAGACGAGTTCAATGAGACGATTGAAGCGTGTAGAAGTCAGCGGCCCATCCCGGCGTCAAGTCCACTGCTACGCCTACAACCGGTTCTGGATGACAGCAACCCTCAGCTACTGCGGATGGACGGCAGGTTGAGCACGGCACATCACCTTCCCAGCAGCCTCCGTAGGCCCGTCATTCTGCCAACGAAGCATCCGGTCACAGCCCTTGTAATCGCTCATGAGGATGCGGCTCACAATCACACTGCTGGCGTCAACCACCTGTTGTCGACCCTGAACTCGAAGTTCTGGATTGTACATGGCCCAGCGGCAGTGAAAAGGCACCGGAGCCAGTGTACGGCCTGCAAGAAGATTTGGGCAAAGCCTGCTCAACAGCTGATGGCACCACTACCCGACTTCCGCACCGAGGAGCCTTTCCGAGCTTTCAGTCGGGTGGGCGTGGATTACGCCGGACCCTTTCTGACGAAGCAAGGGAGAGGAAGAAGTCGAGCAAAGCGCTATCTCTGCTTGATGACGTGTCTTCAGAGCAGAGCAGTTCATCTTGAGATGGCGTATGGCTTGGACACGGAGAGCTTTCTGCTGGCATTCACCAGGTTCGCGAAGAGAAGAGGTGTACCGGATCTCGTCGTGTCCGACAATGGTACCAACTTTGTGTCAGCCGAGCGTGAGCTACGAGAAGCCATCGAAAGCCTCAACAACAGCCAGATTGCCGCTACCATGGCCTGCAAAGGCGTGGAGTGGAGGTTCAATCCGCCACGCTCACCGCATCACGGCGGGGTCTTCGAAGCAATGGTCAAGTGTGCCAAGAGAGCGTTGGTCGGCATCTTGCACAATGCTGTGTGTTCTGATGAGGAGCTCCAGACTGCCTTCACCACTGTTGAGGCTCAGCTCAATCGTCGACCTCTAACGGCCCAGAGTGGAGATGGACAAGACCCGGAGCCGCTAACACCCTCGCACTTTCTAGCGGGATCGACGACCGTGATGACCGCGGTCGAGGAAGATGGCCAGGCGTACCACCTCAAAGCCTGGAGGGTGTTGCAGAGCTGTTTAGCCGCGGTCTGGAAGCGCTGGCTACAAGAGATGGTCCCAAAGTTGAACATACGTCAACGATGGCAGAAGAGCCTTCCCAACATCCGGATTGGAGACGTGGTGCTTGTCCTGGACGCGCACACTCCTCGCGGCCAGTGGCCCCTCGGGAGGATCGAAGCGATCTACCCAGGCACCGACGGAAGAACACGTGTTGTCGACGTGAAGGTGAAAGGGAAGCAATACCGCCGACCTATCACTGTGCTCATCCCGATAGATGCGGTGCGCACTCCCTGAGCAGAAGAGTTACGGCAGCTATTGCGTTTTGCACCACTCATTAGGTATGACAATCTGTGCTGTGTGCATGATACTTGTTAAGTCTGATAGAAGGCTATAGAACTAACTTTAGGGTCATTCTTATTCTGCGATAGAGAAGATTACGCTCTGCCTCTCTTGTTTACGCTCTACTTCTTTGTTGCTTGTTCGTGAAGCTACAGACGATTAGTACATTGCGATTTAGAGTGTTTTCGTTCCCATTCTGCTTATGGTCCCTCAAGGAGGGGGTGATGTTCAGGTGATTCTACTCTCTCATGCATTCAGTGTTATAATTACTATCCAGCTCTGTCCGACTTGTGTTCAGTTGCCTGCATGCTCCAGTTTGTGTTTGTCTAGGATCTGCTGTGTGCGTTTCATCTCTCTGTTATGTCTGTAGTGATCTTGTGTCTTGGTGCCTGAGGCGCGCTTGCTGTCACGCATTCATGTATTCATGCTCTGATGTCTAGACTTTCACTTGCGCGTGCGCTGCGTGCGTGTGCCGGCTCTTTTCCCGTGTATCTATGCATTATGTTGCTACACTACAGTTCCGGCTTATAGTTCCGTTTTGAGTCGGACTTTTGACTTTAGTTTTCTCAGCTGTTGCTGTTGTGCTTTTAGTTGTTTTCAAGTCAGATTCCTTTTTCCTTCTCTGTTGTTGCTCATGATTATCAAGACTGTAAAAGTATGGAAGTAAGACAATAACTCCAGTGTGAGTTTATGAGCTATTGTTGGTAGTTTGGGTGCTTGCATCCAAACAACGGTTTTTTCAACATCTTGCCATACCCCAATCGGATTCAATACCCAATAGCTGCCAAATTCGTTCTGGAAAATCGCCGTACGCACTACAAATGAAAGCTGTTCGGACCACAACTTTAGTTTCCCTTCATCAGGGACAATGACACACGCAATGGGAAATTGAGACAATTCGCTAAGATCCATGGTATTTTTGTAGTATTCATCGTAGAGCGCTCCTTCGAGGCTTTGTTCTGGAGCTGACGGCTAAAGACCTGTGCCTGGCGTCACACGTACACAGGTCTATGCATGCCCGGACTGTCAAGCAACAGAGGGAAATCCTTTATGTCAAAATTATGTGTGCGGAAGTGAAAATTTGGAACGGTACGTAAAATACCTTGCGAGTGTCGTCACTCCACCACTATTGGACCTCGGATCGACTTTCGATTTGTTGGAGCCGACAGCTGAGAACTTTCTAATGCGAATAGATCTTTCGACTACTCGATTCCGTTCAGGGAAAGGCGAGGTACGAAATATTTGAGTGTTTTCAGAACTTCATAGTGGTGCGGATGAGCTCGAAATTCTCAAGGCGCGCGACGAAAAGTGCGCCCTAAAAGAAAATAAGGAGAGCGAAGGCGCGCGAGAGCGATCGCTCTCCTTTTACCAGATGGTCTGTTGTAAGATTTCATGAAACCTTCTGTCTCAGAAGGATTGTCTCTCAGAGACAAGGGGGCGGGGAGTGTGTAAATGAGCTAGTTAGGGTTGAGTACCTGCTACTTGTAGTGTAAACTTGTTTCTCTTCCCACGTACTCACGGAATCTGTCCTGCCCAGCTCAAGGAGGAGAATGCCGAGTTCCGGCGGCAGCTGACTAACTACAAGAAGGACAAGCTAGCCCTGTCCAACTGCAAGGCTCGGATCAAGACCGACACGGAGAAGATGGGCGATCTGCAGTGGGAGCATGAGGTTCTCACGCAGCGGTTCAAGCAGGTTAGGACTCGTTGTGGCACAGGAGTGGCGAGTGCGGATAGCGAAGCCAATGCAGTAGAGTGAGACTATTAGAGAATAGTGTTACTGTATTGCGCTGGGGATGAGAAAGGTTATGTATTTTAAATTTAAAAAGAAGAAGATCTGATCATTGCCCAGCATTGCCGACAAGACTAAGCTATTCAAGTAGCTGTGTTTGCGCCACTGGATGGTTAAATGAAGAGTGCTCGTGTTGCGAAAACCTCCGCCACGGGTAGCGGCGAATACTAAGGTTTTCTATTGCACTGTCGCTCGCCCTGGGGTAGAATGTCGTTTTCGATATCACCTAGTGCTTGTCCTGATCGACTTTGTCTAATTCTCTGTGCCCTCATTATGTGCAGACGGAAACCGAACGGGACGACTTGTACGCGCGGTTTGTGTCCGCCATTAAGGATGTACAGACAAAGACAGGCTTGAAGAACCTGCTGTTGGAGAAGAAGCTCGAAGTACTATCGGACACCTTGGAGAAGAAGGTACGTCATGGGCACATGGCTGATGGCACGGTTTTGTTTGTGCATTGACAGCACAGCCGAATACATGAAGAAAAATTAGGCTATAAAATGCATTTATGTTCCTAGGATGGAAGCATTCCTACTGGGATGTGGAAACTCAGTATAACTAAGCAACACAAGAACCATAACGAAAATGTGTTACCACTCATGCGACTTCAAGCATGTCCGGTTTTCGTTTTCTTGTTCGTACAGGAAGTCCAGCTCAACGAAGTACTGTCTGCATCCAACTTGGACGGCGAGGCACTAGCGATGGTAACACGCAAGCTTGAGGTACGTGTCTGGAGACTGTAGACCAGCTACTGACTAATGTTAGAATATGATCGCAGTTATTGCTACACGCACCTCTCTTCTCTTTTCAATCGACAAACCTCTGACCTCACGATGCTTCTCCAAGAAAGACCGCTGATGCAGAAGCTGATTATGCGTGTGGATGTTTCTCGTTGTCTCTCTGTTACTCGAGCAGGAGGTCTTGGATGTGAAGAACGATGCCATCAAAGATCTCCAGTATGAGCTGGCAAGGGTGTGCAAGGTACGTAGGATGCTCGCAGAGGCACAACGTCGATACCACTGCCTTGGCTTATTGTGGGTTAGCTGAGTTTCAGGCGATGGCCGTTTAACCGAGTAGGGAGTCTTACTTAAATAGAGGTTGTGACGACAGTGCCGGAATGCGATGCTCAAAAGCCAGCATGACCAGGTTTAGTGCGATCGACAGCATGTACCCTGCTGCTGAGGGAAGGTACAGCAGTGGCATGTGAAATCCGGACTGTTATAATCTGGGAATTCGCGCTATTATGTATGTGTGTATGTACATGTGTGCACATTTGCGCGTGTGTATATACATGTGGGTGTATGTGCGTGCGTGTGTGTATGTGCTCTTGTACAAAAACAGGCCCATAACGACTTGCTGCGTGCCTATCAGTCCAAGCTGGTGTCGTTCGGCATACCGCCAGAAGACCTGGGTTTCCAGCCGCTGCAGACCGAAGTCTCCGGGCAGTCGCTTGGCCAGGGCCCGGCAGGTTTGGTCTCCACATTCAAGTAGCGAGTGCAGCAGCGATGGCCGGTAATCGTCTCCGCTCTAAGCTTCAGCTGGTAGCAGTTCTTGAGTCCTCTGCCTTTGTAGTGCTTCTAGCAGATATGCTGCTGTGTTTTTTTTCCTTTTAAAATACCTGGCACTGGTACCCGACACACAAGTGACAACTACCGTGACTATGCTATTGCAGTACTGCAACCAATCCGGCTACCCCATTCTTGCTGAAGTTTTCATCTTACGAAGTGTCCCAAGCGGCGGGTCTATTGTTCTGTGGAGTTGCGGCGGCGGCATCTTCGTCGTCGTCGTCGTCTCTCTCTCTCTCACTCTCACACACGCTCTCTCTCTCTCTCTCTCTCTCTCTCTCTCTCTCTCTCTCTCTCTCTCTCTCTCTCTCTCTCTCACTCACTCACTCGCGCTCTACTGTACGTACAATACGTACATGTACTCGCGATACCGACATGATATGATCCTGTCAACGGGGGTTTGTGACCAGAGGCAGAGGCTGGTGTCGCATTGGTGGTAGTATTGTGCCCGACCGCCATGCTGAACAGTGACCGTCTTGAGGCTACATTTTTGTATAAAAAAATATCAATGATTTATGCCCCATCAATATTAGTCGATGCCCGGGGCTCCATATCACTGATAAGCATTATGCGCATCTGAAATTATGTAACGGAAGAATATTGTTCATTTTGTCCAAGAGTTCAGTGATGTAATCCTACAACTATGTTTATGTCCAGAATACTATTGATTCGTTGAATGATAATCACTACTGTTGACGGTCGTGAAGTTATTTTGCCGCCAAATTCTCAAACTGTTCTGTAGTTTTGAATGTCACACAGTGGTGCGAATGGCTGCGTTTTCCATCGACTATGACATGCCAGAGTGTGTCTCCAGGCTCATGCACAGGCTGGACATTGGTGCATGGATCACAAGCCATAATACAGTACATGGACTATTATCATCATGAAAGGATTGGGAGAACTTCTAGTTCAAAGGATCAGCTGGGGAAGTGAACTGCCCGGCTGAAAAGAGAAAAAAAACGCCAGACCCACCAGGACTCGAACCCGGGAGTTAGAGCATTGCTCATGACAAATAAACAAGGTCCCGGGTTCGAGTCCTGGTGGGTCTGGCGTTTTTTTCTCTTTTGAGGCAGTTCACTTCCCCGCCTGATCCTTTAATTTATCATTATCATTTATGGCTTGTGGAAAAGACTGGGTACACAATGATGACGAAATGGCTGTGGCACAGCCTTCCGATCTGCTGAGCGCTAAACGTGTCTTGAATTTTAAAGCAGCCATTTTGTTCTGAAAATGTGTACGGATTACATCACAATGACATCGTGCAGCCGCTCTGTTGTGAAATGACGTCACAAGTATTATCACAGACTACATACTCAAGTAATACTCAATCTGCGGACAGCATACAGTTGTCCCTCTCTAATCCGGCACTTTATAATCCAGCACCCTCGATAAACCAGCACAATTTTCAGTAGCCAAAATGTCCTCTTCATGCACATTGCAGCAGTAAATCAGATTTGTTAATCCAGCACCCTCCCTAATCCAGCAGATATTCGTGGCACAAATGGTGCCGGATTATAGAGGGACCACTGTACTGTACATGGAAAACATTTCCTTGCACACGGAGACAACTTTCCACGAAATCTTGGTAGCAGGGAGTCGTAAAATCCGTATTTTACGACTCCCTGCTTGGTACTGGTAAACATGTCTTCTACATGACAGTAGTGAGCACACAGACTCCTCAAGCAAATAGCGGATTGAATGCATGAACAAGAAGAACAAACTTTGACAGGCGCATGATCATGGCTTACGATGAGCGGCAAAGAGAGCATGCAGAGCATAATAGAGTACGGTATGGCCAACCAGGACAGGATTGTGCAATTGCTCAAACTGGCTGGGAACCACACGCGCGCGCACACACACACACACATACACACACACACACAGAGGCACGATCACACTGACACATTTCGGTAACACACCCGGGCCAGACATGCCCGGAATCAAGCCGCAGAAACAAACACAGGTGAATGCCTCACGGAACAAACACAAATAGTGGCCTTGGCTTACATCAGCAGAAGTCACATAATAAAAAAAGTCTTGGAGCAGCCAACTAATACTTCTTAAAAGTCTGATTCTTGTCATAGAATATCTGTGTTGGGAAACTGGGGGTAAAAATAGAAATCTGAGCATTGCATTATACATCATTTTTCATGCCAGCATGGAGAATGTTGTACGTCTCATACTAGTACATATGAACAGCGGTGGGCTTGGCAATGTATCGAGACCTGGGCGAGGTGCCGGTTTCCCAACACTACGGGCCGGGGTCGGGTCTGGAGACAGAGAGCAAGTATGTACAGCGTCCGGCATCGAGTCGCGTGCTTCCAAAAGCTCAAAAGGTGCTCATCATAACTGGCCAGCAGGTGTGACCGGAGGATGCGTGCTTGCCGGAGAGTGGGTTGGTGCTTGGGGCGCGGGAGGTGGCGCGCATGTCGGGCATGTCTTCTCACAAGCCACAGGCAGGTGATAGAAGAGATTGCCAGCAATGCAGATCAGTAAAGTACTGAAGGCAGCGTAATACAGGTAGTAGCGGAACTTGGGGTCAAGATCGCCGCGAAAATACCAGAACAACTGCAGTGGAGCGGTGGGTACACAGACACAGACGCACACACACGCTCACATACACGCACACACACACACACGCACACACACACACACACACACATATGCGCACACACACCCATCACGTTCACATACACACATGCACGCACAAACACACACACACACACACACACACACACACACACATGTACCTCAGCTGTGTTTAATATCGCTGAAGTGATACAGATGGATGGAAGAGCGTGTCTCGCGTAAGTGTGTGTGTGTGTGCGTGCGTGTGACAGAGAGAGAGAGAGAGAGAGAGAGAGAGAGAGAGAGAGAGAGAGAGAGAGAGAGAGAGAGAGAGAGAGAGAGAGAGAGAGAGAGAGAGAGCAAAGAAAAAGAAGAAACAGAAACAAAGAAGGTTGTACAGCAGGGATATTCGTGCTCGAAACAGGTTTTGGATGAATGTAGTTGAGATGTGGCGCTTTGACCAAAACACATTTGCTTTATTCATAGCCACATAGAATATACAAACTACAACAAAAAGAGGAGGGAGGAAGTGTTGCGACTGCCAGTTGTCTGGTGATCATAATAGGGACCTTTCGCACCCCGCGTACGGATACGAAACGAATGCTGATTCGTCACCTGGGTTCGAGGATTCGTCAGAGTCCCTGCGGAGAACTCGTTTTCACGAATGGAAGCCTCTTCATTCGTGGCACGCTCCGAATCCGTCAGGTACACATTTATTTGGATAGATACACATGTTTTGCAAGGTACACATTTTTCCCTTGATTCCATGATCCATGCACGTGTGCGTGTAAAAACCCGTACGCCAAACTACCGGCGCCCGCGGCCGTATTCGTAGTTGCCATGCACATTTGCATGACGACTCGCGAAACCTGAAATCTGTTTTCAACGAAACGATTACGAGCCGAATCAAACTTTCGTTTCGCATTCGTTTCGTAGCAAATGCGAAAGGTCCCTAATAATATACGTCTGTGACAAACTCAGAGACCCCAAACTTTCTCCGTCCTCTTCTTGTTGTATAGCTGAGCTCTGACCTTGGGCATTGAGCACTTTATTAGACAGCCTGGAACCTTTCTCAAAGTGCGAAGACGCCACCACTGTAGCCATCCACTGTGGAACCTTTCTCAAAGTGCGAAGACGCCACCACTGTAGCCATCCACTGTGGAACCTTTCTGCTCTAGAAATTTAAACTAGAATGCAATAGTCTACGTGGACGAAGGCCAGGGGTGCAGTCCACAGAGGTTGTACAATGACATCATCACTTGAGGTGTCTTGCAGGGAGGTGCACCAAAAGCACTGGTTTGCCACTTAATACGTACCCTCGTCAGACAGCACTTCAGTATCTTCCAGTAAACAAAATCACAGTCACCACTTCCGCTGCATGGCTCGCTGGGCATCCCATTGCTTTGCAACTTGCTAATCCCTCCCCCTTTTGTGTATGTGCTTTTCATTTTCTTTTTTCTCTTCTTCCGTGGTTGGTCTCACCCTCTCCTCAATTCAATTGGCTGTCTTGACATGCTACGAGGTGCAGAAATAAATAAATAAGTAAATAAAATAAATAAATACAAGCATGCGTGATGACGTCATTCACATGCGGCTAGTAACTACTAGGCAGGGCACATGCTGGCAAAAAAACTCACCATGAAGCCCTGGGAGATGACAATGAGGCTAAGCGTTGTGGCAAAGAACGCATTGGCGGCTAGACTGTTCTGGTCCGTGTGGAAAATGACCGCGCTGATCACAGTTGTCTGCTCAGAGCATCGAGGAGGGGCATGGAGCAAATACAGTGCCATGCGCATACACACACACACACACACACACACACACACACACACACACACAAAACACACACACACACAAAACACACACACACACAAATACACACACAAAACACACACACACACACAAATACACATACACACACACACACGTGAGCAAGGCGCAGACATTGGACAACCAATGCACACGTCGCTGTCAACACACTATGCAGCATGCTAGGCTATGGTACAAGCAAGAGTATATATACCGGCATGTAGGACTCAGTATGAAGTCCATCCATCCCTCACCAAAGTCGTACAAACCCTTCAGCTTGACCAAGTGGGGAGCTCCAGATAAGGGCGTGCTTGTCCAAAAATTGATGGGATTTCCTTTCCTGGCAGCTGCGAGTCTTGCTCGCACTTGTCGTTTCTCCATTTACGTTACACCATGGCGGAGGGTGGAGGAATCCGCATTGGGACCAAAAAGCGAGCGACGTTCAAGACGAAGGACAGAAACGCCGAGAGTGTTTGGTCGTCTTTCGATGAGATAAAGCGACTCTGCAAGCTGAAAGCAGAGTGTTATCCAGTTGAACTTCAATGGGCGAATAACCCAGAAAAAATTGATGTGATTTCTTTCCTGGCAGCTGCGAGTCTTGCTCGCAGTTGTCGGTTCTCCATTTACGTTACACAATGGCGGAGGATGGAGGAATCCGCATTGGGACCAAAAAGCGAGCGACGTTCAAGACGAAGGACAGAAACGCCGAGAGTGTTTGGTCGTCTTTCGAGGAGATAAAGCGACTCTGCAAGCTGAAAGCAGAGTGTTATCCAGTTGAGCTTCAGTGGGCCAATAGCCCAGAAAAATTGATATGATTTCTTTCCTGGCTGCTGTGAGTCTTGCTCGCAGTTGTAGTTTCTCCATTTACGTTACACCATAGCGGAGGATGGAGGAATCCGCATTGGGACGAAAAAGCGAGCGACGTTCAAGACGAAGGACAGAAACATCGAGAGTTTTTGGTCGTCTTTCGAGGAGATAAAGCGAGTCTGCAAGCTGAAAGCAGAGTGCTCTCCAGTTGAGCTTCAATGGGCCAATAACCCAGAAGGCAGGGCAGAGCAGGCCCAGTATGCTGTAGGTGAAACTGTGTGGTTTCACCGCGCTGCCAATCTTGGCGGTGCTGCAAGTGTGGCTGAACTTCGTCCACAGTGGCGCGAAGGTGTTGTCGTTCGGCATGATGTGCAGGAGGGAGGATTCCTGCTGTATGAAGTAATTAGTTGAGGCCGATGACGGTGGGGCCAAAGCTTCCTTCGCAGGAGCTCATCTGCGGGCCCGTCATGTTTCCATGTGCGCGTTAGGCACAATCAGTTTCTGGACCCCGTGCTAGAAGACTGGTGCAGGGGTCCAGAGCCATACCGAGGACCCGCTCGGAAACGTTATTATCGGTGATGATAACAATGCACTGCATCAATTGTGTCTCTTTTCCTTGTTCCTTTTCTGTGCTATAAAAAATCCTTGGCTCTCCATCAGGGCCTATTCCCTTTCCGGTTCCTGGTTCTTTCTTATTGTTTTCTTGGCGTGTGTGTGGGTGCCTGTGTTTGTGCGTGCGTGCAGGCCTAGTGCGTGCACAATAATTTGAGAACAATACATGTATGTTCCTCAATAGTAGCCTCAATATTGATTTCTATTTAATTTTGGACTGTGTACAGTGGATGCCTAATTGGCTGGACATTATGTTGTCCACATAAAGACTCTTTATAGTTGATTTCAAAGTTTGGACTCTGTACAGTGGATTTTGGACCAATAGACTCTATAGGGGTGAAGCCAATTGGCTGGACTCTATAGGGAGTGATGTCCATCGTAACTTTGAGCTCACAGTTGATTTCAATTTTGGACTCTGTACAGTGGATTTTGGACCAATGGACTCATAGGGGTTGGACATCGTATAGGGGCTGGACGCTCTACTGAGTCCAACATAATATCTTACAGCAATGTGCACGTCTGCTCGTGTTATCTATGGGGTCTGCTAACGCCACAAACTCACATCACGTGGTGCGTTGTTTCTGTCGTGTGTCCAGGGCGTTTTTATTGAGCAGAAGAAGCAACCCCCCCCCCCCCCCCCCATGGAAAGTGGACACACTCCCTTCCATAGTGCGTTTCAAAAGTATAGACCTCTAGACTTTTTGAATACAGTGAAACCTGCCTAAGGCGACCCCTCAAGGGACAAGAAAAAGTGGTCGCTGTGGCCAGGTGGTCTTCATATCCAGGTTCAGTGGGTCACGTGACCATATCCACATGTGATACATTGTTTTGATCAGTGCATCACAGTGCACACGCCTATGCTACTCTAGCACGACTCATGTGCCTGGGGTCCTCACACCTGTCAAATGCCGTGCATGCACGCGCACCATGTACATCTACACTTCCTGCACTGATTTGTAGATCTACCATGCCTGGTGCACCATGCAATGTGTACATTTACATGACTAGCACTGTGCAACGCGGTCGCGGGTGGGTGGTCGTCGGTCGCGTTGAGCGAGTGGTCGCCTTATCCGAGGTGTTTTGAACGTGAATGCGTCCGTGACAAGGAAAAGTGGTCGCCGTGGTCGAGTGGTCGCCATATCCGAGTGGTCGCCATTACAGGTTTTACTGTAATTCAAATTTGGTTTGAGCTTTTTGAGAAATTTCTTAGGAATATTACTCGGGCAGCTCACGCAATTTTTCTCATATAAATTTCTAAGCGATTGGATAACGGACGCCCAATTTTGAAAATTTTATGCACAAAGTGATCACAGATTTTATGTGGTATAGATGCTGGCATAACGGTTTTTTGAAACCAGAGGTCTGGACTTTGAAACGCACTATAGTACTAGATTCCAAATGTCCGATGGATTAGCCCCCCCCCCCCCCCTCCCCCTTTCAACATGCCTTGGACTGTTTACGAGACAGAGGTAGCGACTTCGGCGTTGATTTCATAGGAAAGGTGTTTGCTCCCCACACCGGAGCTCGCGCTTTTCCGCCGACTTGTCTGGACACTTGATTCAGCATAGTACTCTGGATGGCAGTTGTGCGTCAGTCAAGGGTCAAGTCAACTCGGCGGACAAGCGCGAGCTCCGGTGCGAGGAGCAAACACCTTGCCTATGGACTACTCAGTATTTGGTTTGTCTTTTCTCGCTTCTAACCACTTGATTAATTAAATGCACTCGCTGGCCATGTACAATTACTAGTAGACAGTTGTCTTAAGTCCCTAGGCTGCTTACAGTGCTCAATGTCCACTGGACAGAGCCAGTAATACAAATATTACACAGCAATGAATCAAACAAGTCTCATTCCGCTGTAACAGCGGAATGAGACTTGTTTGATTCATTGCTGTGTAATATTTGTGTTTGTACAATTACTAGTATATGTACTGCCAAATTTACTTGCTTTCCGCTGTAGTTGTATGAAGCATCTTCTTGGACACCCTGTAAGAAGGCCATAGGCATAGGCCTGTTGGCTATTGTATAGCAGGAAATTTTCCGACGGGAATATTTTCGGACAAAGCCGAATTTCGACCTTTCGTACGGATTTTATTTTCGACCAGTGCTGCATGCTAAACGCACGTGTTCGCATGCAGTGCGCACGTGCCAAGGCGCATTGCATGTGAACACGTGCCAAGGCGCATTGCATGTGAACACGTGCCAAGGCGCATTGCATGTGAACACGTGCCAAGGCGCATTGCATGTGAACACGTGCCAAGGCGCATTGCATGTGAACACGTGCCAAGGCGCATTGCATGTGAACACGTGCCAAGGCGCATTGCATGGCTAGCTAGCTGTACTATGAACCGCACTGCTTCACTACGCGTACGCACTGGTCCTGAACCAGAGCCTGTTCATGATGCAACAGTTACATCGTGTGCATAATTAATTATTTCACATGAACAAATTTTAGTACGGAATTAATTTTTCTACAAAAGAGGCCGTGTACGAAATCATACGAAAATAAATTCCGTCCGAAAATTTACTGCTATACAGTATCTCCAAGTTAAAACAATAATACTACTGTCGTGGACATGGAAATCCAGTCGATTGACCGGGGCCGGGGCCCTCAGCGCGTACAGAACGCTGCAGGCAGCGCACAAAGTCATGTTGATCCGATGCGACCAGCGCGCTGCAGCGCATACTGTCTGCTCTTACCGCTTACTCACGGCTGCATGGCCAGCGCCCTGGGGTCGCTAGACGTGCGACCGGATTTCCATGTCCACGGCAGTACTACTACTAGATCCTGACTGTGCGGACACTGAGTTCCGTTGTGAAACCTACACAGGCAATACCCTACACAAGTGAGGAATCACACACGTGTGGTTTGAGGTGCTGCGACTTGTGTGGCTGGACCTTGCCGGGATTTCACCCCCTAGACACGCCTGCTGGACGCATGTCACATGTGCTGCACCATAATCTCTCTCCTGGAGTTACACACACTCCATGGGACTACGTACTCATGGAGCTGTGATGCCCTGGCCATACAGTGCCAACACGCTCAACAACATCTAAAAAAATTAAGGGCGAGAATTTTTTGTTGAATGAACTTGCATTTTGGTACAATCATGTCATGTAACGTTACTGTATGACAGAGTTTATACCGGTCAGTGTTATTAGCTAGTGTAGTTTTGCTCAACGATGGCTTGCCAACCAAGCCAGCAGGGTGAGGTAGGTAATTTGTGGCGACCAAAATGAGCGCCCCAGGCCATGTCTTATAATAATTATTGAGAGTGGAGCTATGTGTGGAGTTTTCAAACTCAAGAATAGCCACTGCAGTTTGCCAATGGCGGAAATGGTGTCGTTTCTTGACAGTAGCTGTCATCACTGAGTACTTACAAGTACAACACCAATAGTGAAGAGCGTCAGGAGGATGTGGATGACTCGTATTTTCGACCTCTGGGCATGGAAACAAATGCAAGCCGAACACTTTTCTTCATCAGTCACACGCACATTTTCTCAACGGCTCAAAATTGAAATACATGATCAAGGTTATTTCTTCCATCGACAAAGAATGATTACCGTCTCTGGTGATACTTCATTGATCAGAGCAGCGCTCTCAGCGCCAGTTGTCTGAGGCATAGTTGCCTGAGTCGATTCCGACCAGCTCTACAATGCCATAAACACTTGTTTTTCGCAGTTGACAATAGTCAAACAAATAATTCAAAAATACAAAACAAGGTACTGACATGTCGACACAGTCGAGCCTGTACTATTTTGTGCATGTGGTGAAGTGTGATATCTCTGATCTGGACGTCTACGTCTGTGCATGTGGGGCCTGGGGATCGGGAACTCTGGAACTGGGGAAATCTGTACTGGGCGGAACCATGCCATATGCGCCATACGCGTAATCATGACGTGAGATCAGAGCAGATCACGTAAAAAACGTAAAAGTTACGTGTGCGCGGTACGCTGTTTTCATGTACGGTGTGATCTGTACGATTCGGTCTTTGTTCTCGAATTTTCGATGATGTTTCGTGGTGTGCATGCATGTGACATGATGAGACGTCGTGACCCTGACAACGAATGCTTCGTGCAAGAGTTTTGCCTTTTCGGTTTGTGTTGCAGGGCATCTGACAGATACTTTTCATTCCGTGAGCTACCTTTTCGATTGAAGCGTCGTCTTTCCGCTGATCCGTCTCTCTCTTTTCCACCATGTCTCTGTGCCGTCAGAACTACGCCGAGGCCTCAGAGGCTGCCGTCAACAAACAAATCAACATGGAGTTCGAAGCCATGTATGCCTACACTGCCCTGGCTGCTTTCTACGCCCGCGACGACATAGCTCTGGGCAAGGTTTCGGCCTACTTCCAGAAGAGCGCTGATGAGGAGAAGGGACACGCCGACAAGCTTATCAGCTACCAAAACCTGCGTGGAGGCCGTGTCTGCTTCACCGACATCAAGACCCCGCAGAAAACCGAATTCAAGTCTGTGGAGGAGGCCTTCCAGACTGCCTTGGACCTCGAGAAGCGTGTCAACCAGTCCTTGTTGGACTTGCACAAGGTTGCCTCGGACAGCAACGATGCCCAGATGACTGACTTCATCGAGGGTGAGTTCCTCGGCGAGCAGGTGGATGCCATCAAGGAGCTGTCCGATCACGTCGCCAACCTCAAGCGTGTTGGTCCAGGCATGGGTGAGTGGCACTTCAACCAAGCCCTGTAGATTATGAATTTTCAATTTTCGCATGCCTGAAATTCGACAGCAGGTACGCCGTTGTGTACGCATGCGTATGGCCACGGTTATTTGGTTTCTTTTCAAGCTTTCAGAAAGTTTAACGTTCTTTTTTACTGCGACATTCTCACACTTAGGTCAAGGTCATGCGTATGATCGTATGCACCATCAATCAGCAATGGACATCCTTCTCTGAACACAAGTAGAGCCTGTTGTGTGTTTGAGTGTGCATGTATGTGTGTGCCTGGTACATGTTGTTTGATTGGGTTCAGGTTCCATAAGTACTGCCCAATGAAATCCAGTCGCGTCACTCAAGTACGCGCCGGGCGTTGCGCAGCCCTAGACCTGCGAGCCATGGGCTGCGAAATGATGCAAGGTGCCAAATAGATGATACAGTATGCCAAATAACGTGCAACTAGACTTGAGAGGGCATTGCAGAGTAGTTGCATACAAAGGTCAAAGTTGTACGGCTACCTGTGACTTGCATTTCTGCAGAGCTCAGGGCCTACCATGTACAAATTGTAGTATAATAAGTATGCAACTTGTGTGCGATGCCCTCTCAAGTCTAGTTGCGCGTTGTTTGGCATATCATCTATTGAGTGCCGGGACTGGATTTCATTGAGCAGTGCTGTACTCGAGCTGTACACGGTTAAAGTTAGAGCACTGAGTGACTTTGATGCTTTGAGACGGTTTATACATGTACATGTAAATGCTTGGTTGTTTGCTAGACTTCATTGTGATCGGTTCAACCAGTACACTAGAGTCGCGCGTCCAACAACGTCGCTTCCAAGGGGTTAGCCTTGGACGTTCTTATTTTGTGGGGCAATCTGGCTGCGTTCTTATTGCACGTTCTTAGAAACAATTCGTACTGGATCATATCTATCCCGAAAGCTGCCGGAAAACCAACACCGCCGTTCTTACCTTTAGACTCTGGCGTTCTTAGCATTTCAGGCTGGACGTTCTTGGGCTCAACGTTCTTCAGCACACGACTAACAAAGTCGAAACAGCTAGCTGTCCAGGGATTGAGTACTTCGAGTCTACAATAGATAGTTTTTTTTATTTAGACTCTTGTAATCAATGGTGTTAGTGACACCTTCACTGGGGACAGGGTAAACGCAGTTGGATTCCGGGGTGGATATTCTGTTTCCATTAGTCAATTCTTCCGCGGACGCGCATTTTCCGCGTCATCGGCTTTCATCCGCATTTTCAAGAAATTTTGCATAAAACCTGCGTTATCCATGGAAATACAGTAGAGTCGTGCCAGAGAATGTGGAGCCCAAGACACATATGCAAGGGCGTCGGAACCGCACCGGCCGGGGCGGCCATGGCCGCCCCACTTTTTCGGCCGTTTTTTTTTTTTTTTAGTACACTGCAACAAAGCGCGATGATCTCAGCGCAAACGTGGCAAATCCTTGTCCCCGATCGTGGTTTGTTGCAGGATCAAAAGTCCATGTACACTGAAATGGCACCAAATGCCTGGGAATACTTGCAATTGGCTTCAATTTTTGAATTTTTTTCCCGGGGAAGTGTAATGTTTGTCCCCGATCGTAGCATCTTCTTGGTTTTTTGCAGAATCAAAAAGTCTTTCATTGTAGTTACCGTACACTGAAAAGGCACCAAATGCCCGGAAATGCTTGCAATTGGCTTTAATTTTTGAAATGTTTTCCCGGGGGAGGACCCCCGGACCCCCCTTCCATGGCCGCCCCACTTCCAAAGTCGTTCCGACGCGCCTGTGTGCCTACATTGTATGCAATTGAAGGGCTCCAATTCAAAGCGCGATAAAGACCAAACCGGAGCTTTTGCGTTTTTGTCACGAAAAAGAATTCGTTTTCACCCCACGGGCGTCTGTCGGTTTTACTGGTCAAAACGTGATACATCCCAGTCAAAAGGATGCCCGAAGTTTGTGTTCTTCTGCAAAACGCGATAAAAGTTACTGCATGATGCAGCACTTCCTGAGATTTCCACAAAATGGATTTATCTCGTTTTGAATTGGAGCCCTTCGTACCGTATTTCCGCAAATAAAAGGCCGTCCTCGTATACAACGCCTTCCTCGTATACAAGGCCGGGGCAGGGGGCGATTGAAAAAATAAAAGACCGTCTCCGATTAGAAGACCGGGTCTACTAAATGAGTCTCAAACATGTGTTAAAAATAGAAGACCGTGCTCAAACTGTGTAGAAGAAAATGGAAGAATGGGGGTTAAACTGTGTGGCGAAAAAAAGAAGACCGGGGTCAAACTGGGTTGAAAGAAGAAAAGACCGTCCTCGAATACAAGACCGTCCTCGATTAAAAGGCCGGGTTAGGTCGAGGTTGAAAAATAATAGACCGGCCTACTATTTGTGGAAATACGGTATGTACTAGTGTGTGCAAATGACCCAGTTTCTAAGAATGTGCCATAAGAAAGCAGCTAGATAGCTCAAGATAAGAACTTCCCAGCCTGACCCCTCGGAAACGACGTTCTTGGGCGCGCAGCTCTTTACGTAGGCATCTTGGCAAGACTTCTGAATCTCTCACTTGTATGGTGAAACCCACTTGGCCAGGTCTTGGCACGTACATGTACCGTAAAGTACCGCGAGAGCGCCCCACCTTGATTTTACAGCCAGGGAAAGGGAAATCGTATGGCAGAGTGCAACGAAGTTTATACGGTGTGAGAACCTTACAGTCCATTTCAAAACTATAGACGCGTAGTGTTTTGCAAAATTCGATGGGATTTATTTAAATATTTTTATTTTTTCTCCAGATTCCGTCTCTGCATCGCTTCACAATTCTGGCTATATACTTTGTTTTCGCTACAATTTACCGTAATGTCGCGTGCATTAGCCGGGGCTTATATGCCTATAAGCCGGTGATGGAGTCAGGCTTGTACACAAGACAGGCTTATACACGAGACAGGCTTATATGACAAGCACCACTCAATGACCAGGCTTGTATGCGCAAACTGCTGACTTTTGGACGTCAAAACCAACATTTTCCAACGGGATTTTTTTTCTTTTTTTTCGCAAGTGTACGGTACCATGCAAACATGAACATGTAAAAGGCGCGCTCACCAGTCTTGCGTAGTAGCCCGGCTTACGCACGCGACACGTGGCGCGTCTCGTGTACTGGCCCGGCTTATGCATGCGACAGGCTTGTACGCGAAAAGCTGTTGCAGATTTCATGCTTCTACACGAGACAGGCTTATGCACAAATCCGGCTTATGCACGCGACATTACGGTAAGTTTATTTTTAGGCCACGTTTTCCGGTTTTACATGTAATTCCTGTTTTGAAGGGTTTGACCAGTTTGTTTCGGATTTTTTGCTCCTGCTGAGACTGTGTTGCGCCCAGACCATCGCGGGTGCATTTTTGTACGGGTCCTGGTAACCTCGTGGTTTCGATCCGTGATTTCCAGTACAAGTGTGGGGCATTCGATTCGAATCCCATCACGCCTTCTGCCTTTTTTTCTCTTCTTTTCTGCATGTTTTGGATCTTGTTGGGTGAAATACAGTAGGGATGATAATTATATTTTCTCTTTTTGATTTGATTTGAGCCTCCCTGTTCCCTTCGCCTGACACAACGAGTGACAGTGGTTTCACTCACGCCAGTTGCAAGGTGAGTTCGACGACAAGGATTTCGGATACTCAAGCTTCGATCAAAATCCAGCTCTTTTTCGAAGAAACAATGAACACGACTTATCATATCTTTCTCGGCATCACTGAGATTCTTACGGGCCTTGGAAGCCATTACAGTCAGGCACTCAGAAAATGAAAACAAGAAGAAGATTCATTTGAGACTTTCCTCACACCTTTTCATTTGCGACTTTGCACGTTTTGCATCTTTTGTATTTCCCGCGGCGACGAAGAAAAACCTGAAAAACACATCTGAAAACCAGAAAACACTCAGGCAAAACTCACGGCTGTCATGCGCTACAGTACGTACGACCTCGTACGTATGAGTTCACGCGTCTATAGTTTTGAAATGGACTGTAGTGTACTACGGTCACACTAAACAGGTTTTTGTGTGGCGCTCGTGTCCGCTCCAAGGTACGGATTGTCTGCAGAACGTGCAATATGTGTACAAAGTTTGTGTCGTATGACCTACAGACAGGAGACCACCTCCACAATACGACCGTGAAAGGACGAGATGGTGGGGCGCTCTGGTGGTACTTTACGGTACATGTAACTATACGTGTGTATGCCTATCGTTACCTTGATGCTGTCAATCCTTTTTTTCTGCACCTTGTTCTTATCCACGTTGCGTTGACGGCGATGCGATGAGCCTGTAGTATTTGGGATCATTCCCAAGTCCCTACACCGTGTTTCAGTCCACCAGACGCGATAAAAAAGGAGCAGTGCGGAGTAGCCCTTTCCCAAAGATGCCAAAATATTTCGCAACTTATGCTTTTCGCAACCATGCCGAAACAAGTGAAAGTTGCTGAAATCGCATCCATATTTTCAGAAAAAGCTCACAAGTTGCTAATATCACAACTCAAAATGAGCGAGTTCTTGTGTGTAAATGCCATCATAATCATACTTCATAGCATCATTGCTCGGTGTTGCCACATTTCTCTCTCTCTCCCTCTCTCCCTCTCTCTCTCTCTCTCTCTCTCTCTCTCTCTCTCTCTCTCTCTCTCTCTCTCTCTGCTATTGGCGCGCCTGGTTGTGATGAAGCCGAGACCCACGGTCGGCAGAGCATCCCAGACCACGCCACCACTCCTCTTATTCATGGCTCACACATGACGGGTTTACGTGGCTCTAGTCTTCTTTGCTTTCCATAGTGAACATCAGGGAGTATTAAAGTGCCAGTATTTTACTACTAGGGAGAACAGTGAAGTACTACAGTACCAAGCTCGGGCAGTTAGTTATATCTTCAGCTTAAAATGTGCAGGTGGGGTCAGAAAGAGGCTGCAGAAAAGCAAGTGATGTACTGCATGCAGAGGGTCAGTGATTCCTAGACCAAAGATTGCAATCTCACAAACAGACAGACAAGAGTTCAGACTATGGTTCTAGACGAGGACCAAGTGTCTAGTGTACTTGATACAAGCAGTGTAGTTGAAAACAACACGTGCACAAGGTGGACAATGGCAGTTAAAACAGTAAAAGCACGCGCGCACACACGCACCAAACGCACACAAAACACCTGTATGGGTGATATCTTTCCAGGGCGCATACCACACGGTCGTCAGGTATTGCATGCCAGCATGCTGTGACGGAGTGGTTCGTCCCTGGGTTGGAAGTTAGAAGACATCTTCGCAGTCTTGCTCAGCGGCCAGTTTCCAGGACAGGTGGTCGCAGTGCTGCAGGTCATCTATCAGGGTCATCTGCGTGCCAATACTGATCGTGTCTGAACTCCTCGCGGCAGCAGCACCGCCAAACTCACCTAGGCAAGCAAAAGCACAAAGGGGGCAATGCTGGTTTATTCTTCGATTTCTATAATCTTATCCGCCACTCCCTGGTCTGAAGGTGCAACTCCGTAAATCGTCCCATGAACCTGCATGTATTGCTTGTACCATGTATGCCGGCAGTTTTACTGAATTTACTGATGAGAATTGGGTGAAATGTGTAGTCAAGAAAACATTCTAGTTTTTTTATAATGCTAGTCTTCGACTGATTTAACCATTCACTGTACTGCTTTGCTGAGAATGTTCGGCAAATTGAAACTGTTTGGATCGTCCTGCTACTTGGATCTGCTTTGTCGGTGCATGCATGAATTTAAATAATTTTTATACACCCCTCTAACTTCTTCTACATACATACGAGCGTACTAGTGGGCAAGTTCAAACTTAAAACATACCAAGCTCATCACAGGTCGACTCAGCGTCAAATTCATTGTAGATCACGTCACCAGCGCTGTTATTGCGCTGATGGCATTGCCCCGCCATGGCCCGACGGCGTGCGGAAGAGCTTCTTTTGCGCCGACGATAGACAACGGCCGCCACGCTTGCCATGGCTACCAGGGCTGTGGATGTTGCTATCATAACCCAGACTGTCGAAGAGCTTGTTTCTCCTGTAGTAACATAAAGAGAAAGTCGGGTAATGGGATTTATGCATACTAGTCCCGCCATTTGATCTTGAGGGGCAAGTCCACTATAACGGTACACACTGTGATACCAATCCTGCATCAAAGGTCATATAAACTGTGTACGATCATACCTACAAATGTACTACAACTGGCTGTACCTGCCAGATATGGGACGAATCGCCCCTCAGGAAGGTGGGGGCCATGTTTCATGCATGAACCCATTGGAGAATTCACATCCGAATAACCACCACTGACTGACGGCCCAGAAATTGATCACTTAATTAACTGACCTTTTGAGTTGTGTGCTGCCTGTCCATGGCTGTCCACCCTAAATGGCCCTACAAAGACATGGCTCAGCTGATCAGACATGTCGCCCTCTGCTGCACGCTTGCGGCGAACGGTGGAACCATCTGAGCAAGACGCAGTGGAATCGGATCAGGTCAGGCCTCCACTAGTTTCTAAAACAAGCTAAGACTGCACCTGTCATGCGTCCTTATCACCATTTATTTATTTTATTGATGGACTATCTTTTAGGTGTCTCAGCAAATACAGTGCATTTCAAAGGTTCGACAATAGAGAGGTTCCGGGGTACGATTTTCCGTGCCAAAATCCGTATGAGCGCTACGGATTTTTTCCAGGCATGCTCCATACGATTTTTCGGCACGGAGAATCCGTGTGGACTGGCTTTCACACGAACCATGTTTCGTATGGAGATTTTGCGTCATCGGGTGCAGAAAGATTTTTCGCGTACAAATTTGGTACGAGAAACATCGATTTTCCGCGGGACGTTTTGATTTCGGTACAAATTTTCAAAATAAAAAAGGCATAGCGCGGGAATGTGACGTGTTTGCGATCGTAACCTAGGCAATGACGGCAAACACATAAGTTCCGTACTCCGGAAAATTTCACTGCTCGAAAACGACGTATAAAAAATCCGTAGCGCCTCTACGGATTTTGGCACGAAAAGTCGTACTCCGGAACCTCCCTAATATCCCTCCCTCCTCCTCTCTCCTGGAGTTACACACACTCCATGGGACTACGTACCAAGAGTACATGAAAACCAGAGTGTGCAGCTCGGATGGGTTGCTGTCACGGCGAAATTCCGTGATTACATCATTTTAGTGATGTAGTGCGTACAAGCAGGATTCAAGCAGGTCTCTTTCTGCACAACTGCAGCTCAGTTGTACGCACTACGCCATTTCCCGCCTAGATCTGGGCCAAATATGATGTAATCACGGAATTTCGCCGTGACAGACACCCATAGCAGAAAAGGCCCCAAGCTGCACACTCTGGTTTTCATGTACTCTTGTACGTACTCATGGAGCTGTGATGCCCTGGCCATACAGTGCCAACACGCTCAACAACATCTAAAAAAATTAAGGGCGAGAATTTTTTGTTGAATGAACTTGCATTTTGGTACAATCATGTCATGTAACGTTACTGTATGACAGAGTTTATACCGGTCAGTGTTATTAGCTAGTGTAGTTTTGCTCAACGATGGCTTGCCAACCAAGCCAGCAGGGTGAGGTAGGTAATTTGTGGCGACCAAAATGAGCGCCCCAGGCCATGTCTTATAATAATTATTGAGAGTGGAGCTATGTGTGGAGTTTTCAAACTCAAGAATAGCCACTGCAGTTTGCCAATGGCGGAAATGGTGTCGTTTCTTGACAGTAGCTGTCATCACTGAGTACTTACAAGTACAACACCAATAGTGAAGAGCGTCAGGAGGATGTGGATGACTCGTATTTTCGACCTCTGGGCATGGAAACAAATGCAAGCCGAACACTTTTCTTCATCAGTCACACGCACATTTTCTCAACGGCTCAAAATTGAAATACATGATCAAGGTTATTTCTTCCATCGACAAAGAATGATTACCGTCTCTGGTGATACTTCATTGATCAGAGCAGCGCTCTCAGCGCCAGTTGTCTGAGGCATAGTTGCCTGAGTCGATTCCGACCAGCTCTACAATGCCATAAACACTTGTTTTTCGCAGTTGACAATAGTCAAACAAATAATTCAAAAATACAAAACAAGGTACTGACATGTCGACACAGTCGAGCCTGTACTATTTTGTGCATGTGGTGAAGTGTGATATCTCTGATCTGGACGTCTACGTCTGTGCATGTGGGGCCTGGGGATCGGGAACTCTGGAACTGGGGAAATCTGTACTGGGCGGAACCATGCCATATGCGCCATACGCGTAATCATGACGTGAGATCAGAGCAGATCACGTAAAAAACGTAAAAGTTACGTGTGCGCGGTACGCTGTTTTCATGTACGGTGTGATCTGTACGATTCGGTCTTTGTTCTCGAATTTTCGATGATGTTTCGTGGTGTGCATGCATGTGACATGATGAGACGTCGTGACCCTGACAACGAATGCTTCGTGCAAGAGTTTTGCCTTTTCGGTTTGTGTTGCAGGGCATCTGACAGATACTTTTCATTCCGTGAGCTACCTTTTCGATTGAAGCGTCGTCTTTCCGCTGATCCGTCTCTCTCTTTTCCACCATGTCTCTGTGCCGTCAGAACTACGCCGAGGCCTCAGAGGCTGCCGTCAACAAACAAATCAACATGGAGTTCGAAGCCATGTATGCCTACACTGCCCTGGCTGCTTTCTACGCCCGCGACGACATAGCTCTGGGCAAGGTTTCGGCCTACTTCCAGAAGAGCGCTGATGAGGAGAAGGGACACGCCGACAAGCTTATCAGCTACCAAAACCTGCGTGGAGGCCGTGTCTGCTTCACCGACATCAAGACCCCGCAGAAAACCGAATTCAAGTCTGTGGAGGAGGCCTTCCAGACTGCCTTGGACCTCGAGAAGCGTGTCAACCAGTCCTTGTTGGACTTGCACAAGGTTGCCTCGGACAGCAACGATGCCCAGATGACTGACTTCATCGAGGGTGAGTTCCTCGGCGAGCAGGTGGATGCCATCAAGGAGCTGTCCGATCACGTCGCCAACCTCAAGCGTGTTGGTCCAGGCATGGGTGAGTGGCACTTCAACCAAGCCCTGTAGATTATGAATTTTCAATTTTCGCATGCCTGAAATTCGACAGCAGGTACGCCGTTGTGTACGCATGCGTATGGCCACGGTTATTTGGTTTCTTTTCAAGCTTTCAGAAAGTTTAACGTTCTTTTTTACTGCGACATTCTCACACTTAGGTCAAGGTCATGCGTATGATCGTATGCACCATCAATCAGCAATGGACATCCTTCTCTGAACACAAGTAGAGCCTGTTGTGTGTTTGAGTGTGCATGTATGTGTGTGCCTGGTACATGTTGTTTGATTGGGTTCAGGTTCCATAAGTACTGCCCAATGAAATCCAGTCGCGTCACTCAAGTACGCGCCGGGCGTTGCGCAGCCCTAGACCTGCGAGCCATGGGCTGCGAAATGATGCAAGGTGCCAAATAGATGATACAGTATGCCAAATAACGTGCAACTAGACTTGAGAGGGCATTGCAGAGTAGTTGCATACAAAGGTCAAAGTTGTACGGCTACCTGTGACTTGCATTTCTGCAGAGCTCAGGGCCTACCATGTACAAATTGTAGTATAATAAGTATGCAACTTGTGTGCGATGCCCTCTCAAGTCTAGTTGCGCGTTGTTTGGCATATCATCTATTGAGTGCCGGGACTGGATTTCATTGAGCAGTGCTGTACTCGAGCTGTACACGGTTAAAGTTAGAGCACTGAGTGACTTTGATGCTTTGAGACGGTTTATACATGTACATGTAAATGCTTGGTTGTTTGCTAGACTTCATTGTGATCGGTTCAACCAGTACACTAGAGTCGCGCGTCCAACAACGTCGCTTCCAAGGGGTTAGCCTTGGACGTTCTTATTTTGTGGGGCAATCTGGCTGCGTTCTTATTGCACGTTCTTAGAAACAATTCGTACTGGATCATATCTATCCCGAAAGCTGCCGGAAAACCAACACCGCCGTTCTTACCTTTAGACTCTGGCGTTCTTAGCATTTCAGGCTGGACGTTCTTGGGCTCAACGTTCTTCAGCACACGACTAACAAAGTCGAAACAGCTAGCTGTCCAGGGATTGAGTACTTCGAGTCTACAATAGATAGTTTTTTTTATTTAGACTCTTGTAATCAATGGTGTTAGTGACACCTTCACTGGGGACAGGGTAAACGCAGTTGGATTCCGGGGTGGATATTCTGTTTCCATTAGTCAATTCTTCCGCGGACGCGCATTTTCCGCGTCATCGGCTTTCATCCGCATTTTCAAGAAATTTTGCATAAAACCTGCGTTATCCATGGAAATACAGTAGAGTCGTGCCAGAGAATGTGGAGCCCAAGACACATATGCAAGGGCGTCGGAACCGCACCGGCCGGGGCGGCCATGGCCGCCCCACTTTTTCGGCCGTTTTTTTTTTTTTTTAGTACACTGCAACAAAGCGCGATGATCTCAGCGCAAACGTGGCAAATCCTTGTCCCCGATCGTGGTTTGTTGCAGGATCAAAAGTCCATGTACACTGAAATGGCACCAAATGCCTGGGAATACTTGCAATTGGCTTCAATTTTTGAATTTTTTTCCCGGGGAAGTGTAATGTTTGTCCCCGATCGTAGCATCTTCTTGGTTTTTTGCAGAATCAAAAAGTCTTTCATTGTAGTTACCGTACACTGAAATGGCACCAAATGCCCGGAAATGCTTGCAATTGGCTTTAATTTTTGAAATGTTTTCCCGGGGGAGGACCCCCGGACCCCCCTTCCATGGCCGCCCCACTTCCAAAGTCGTTCCGACGCGCCTGTGTGCCTACATTGTATGCAATTGAAGGGCTCCAATTCAAAGCGCGATAAAGACCAAACCGGAGCTTTTGCGTTTTTGTCACGAAAAAGAATTCGTTTTCACCCCACGGGCGTCTGTCGGTTTTACTGGTCAAAACGTGATACATCCCAGTCAAAAGGATGCCCGAAGTTTGTGTTCTTCTGCAAAACGCGATAAAAGTTACTGCATGATGCAGCACTTCCTGAGATTTCCACAAAATGGATTTATCTCGTTTTGAATTGGAGCCCTTCGTACCGTATTTCCGCAAATAAAAGGCCGTCCTCGTATACAACGCCTTCCTCGTATACAAGGCCGGGGCAGGGGGCGATTGAAAAAATAAAAGACCGTCTCCGATTAGAAGACCGGGTCTACTAAATGAGTCTCAAACATGTGTTAAAAATAGAAGACCGTGCTCAAACTGTGTAGAAGAAAATGGAAGAATGGGGGTTAAACTGTGTGGCGAAAAAAAGAAGACCGGGGTCAAACTGGGTTGAAAGAAGAAAAGACCGTCCTCGAATACAAGACCGTCCTCGATTAAAAGGCCGGGTTAGGTCGAGGTTGAAAAATAATAGACCGGCCTACTATTTGTGGAAATACGGTATGTACTAGTGTGTGCAAATGACCCAGTTTCTAAGAATGTGCCATAAGAAAGCAGCTAGATAGCTCAAGATAAGAACTTCCCAGCCTGACCCCTCGGAAACGACGTTCTTGGGCGCGCAGCTCTTTACGTAGGCATCTTGGCAAGACTTCTGAATCTCTCACTTGTATGGTGAAACCCACTTGGCCAGGTCTTGGCACGTACATGTACCGTAAAGTACCGCGAGAGCGCCCCACCTTGATTTTACAGCCAGGGAAAGGGAAATCGTATGGCAGAGTGCAACGAAGTTTATACGGTGTGAGAACCTTACAGTCTATTTCAAAACTATAGACGCGTAGTGTTTTGCAAAATTCGATGGGATTTATTTAAATATTTTTATTTTTTCTCCAGATTCCGTCTCTGCATCGCTTCACAATTCTGGCTATATACTTTGTTTTCGCTACAATTTAAGTTTATTTTTAGGCCACGTTTTCCGGTTTTACATGTAATTCCTGTTTTGAAGGGTTTGACCAGTTTGTTTCGGATTTTTTGCTCCTGCTGAGACTGTGTTGCGCCCAGACCATCGCGGGTGCATTTTTGTACGGGTCCTGGTAACCTCGTGGTTTCGATCCGTGATTTCCAGTACAAGTGTGGGGCATTCGATTCGAATCCCATCACGCCTTCTGCCTTTTTTTCTCTTCTTTTCTGCATGTTTTGGATCTTGTTGGGTGAAATACAGTAGGGATGATAATTATATTTTCTCTTTTTGATTTGATTTGAGCCTCCCTGTTCCCTTCGCCTGACACAACGAGTGACAATGGTTTCACTCACGCCAGTTGCAAGGTGAGTTCGACGACAAGGATTTCGGATACTCAAGCTTCGATCAAAATCCAGCTCTTTTTCGAAGAAACAATGAACACGACTTATCATATCTTTCTCGGCATCACTGAGATTCTTACGGGCCTTGGAAGCCATTACAGTCAGGCACTCAGAAAATGAAAACAAGAAGAAGATTCATTTGAGACTTTCCTCACACCTTTTCATTTGCGACTTTGCACGTTTTGCATCTTTTGTATTTCCCGCGGCGACGAAGAAAAACCTGAAAAACACATCTGAAAACCAGAAAACACTCAGGCAAAACTCACGGCTGTCATGCGCTACAGTACGTACGACCTCGTACGTATGAGTTCACGCGTCTATAGTTTTGAAATGGACTGTAGTGTACTACGGTCACACTAAACAGGTTTTTGTGTGGCGCTCGTGTCCGCTCCAAGGTACGGATTGTCTGCAGAACGTGCAATATGTGTACAAAGTTTGTGTCGTATGACCTACAGACAGGAGACCACCTCCACAATACGACCGTGAAAGGACGAGATGGTGGGGCGCTCTGGTGGTACTTTACGGTACATGTAACTATACGTGTGTATGCCTATCGTTACCTTGATGCTGTCAATCCTTTTTTTCTGCACCTTGTTCTTATCCACGTTGCGTTGACGGCGATGCGATGAGCCTGTAGTATTTGGGATCATTCCCAAGTCCCTACACCGTGTTTCAGTCCACCAGACGCGATAAAAAAGGAGCAGTGCGGAGTAGCCCTTTCCCAAAGATGCCAAAATATTTCGCAACTTATGCTTTTCGCAACCATGCCGAAACAAGTGAAAGTTGCTGAAATCGCATCCATATTTTCAGAAAAAGCTCACAAGTTGCTAATATCACAACTCAAAATGAGCGAGTTCTTGTGTGTAAATGCCATCATAATCATACTTCATAGCATCATTGCTCGGTGTTGCCACATTTCTCTCTCTCTCTCTCTCTCCCTCTCTCCTCTCTCTCTCTCTCTCTCTCTCTCTCTCTCTCTCTCTCTCTCTCTCTCTCTCTCTCTCTCTCTCTCTCTCTCTCTCTCTCTCTCTCTCTCTCTCTCTCTCTCTCTCTCTCTCTCTCTCTCTCTCTCTCTCTGCTATTGGCGCGCCTGGTTGTGATGAAGCCGAGACCCACGGTCGGCAGAGCATCCCAGACCACGCCACCACTCCTCTTATTCATGGCTCACACATGACGGGTTTACGTGGCTCTAGTCTTCTTTGCTTTCCATAGTGAACATCAGGGAGTATTAAAGTGCCAGTATTTTACTACTAGGGAGAACAGTGAAGTACTACAGTACCAAGCTCGGGCAGTTAGTTATATCTTCAGCTTAAAATGTGCAGGTGGGGTCAGAAAGAGGCTGCAGAAAAGCAAGTGATGTACTGCATGCAGAGGGTCAGTGATTCCTAGACCAAAGATTGCAATCTCACAAACAGACAGACAAGAGTTCAGACTATGGTTCTAGACGAGGACCAAGTGTCTAGTGTACTTGATACAAGCAGTGTAGTTGAAAACAACACGTGCACAAGGTGGACAATGGCAGTTAAAACAGTAAAAGCACGCGCGCACACACGCACCAAACGCACACAAAACACCTGTATGGGTGATATCTTTCCAGGGCGCATACCACACGGTCGTCAGGTATTGCATGCCAGCATGCTGTGACGGAGTGGTTCGTCCCTGGGTTGGAAGTTAGAAGACATCTTCGCAGTCTTGCTCAGCGGCCAGTTTCCAGGACAGGTGGTCGCAGTGCTGCAGGTCATCTATCAGGGTCATCTGCGTGCCAATACTGATCGTGTCTGAACTCCTCGCGGCAGCAGCACCGCCAAACTCACCTAGGCAAGCAAAAGCACAAAGGGGGCAATGCTGGTTTATTCTTCGATTTCTATAATCTTATCCGCCACTCCCTGGTCTGAAGGTGCAACTCCGTAAATCGTCCCATGAACCTGCATGTATTGCTTGTACCATGTATGCCGGCAGTTTTACTGAATTTACTGATGAGAATTGGGTGAAATGTGTAGTCAAGAAAACATTCTAGTTTTTTTATAATGCTAGTCTTCGACTGATTTAACCATTCACTGTACTGCTTTGCTGAGAATGTTCGGCAAATTGAAACTGTTTGGATCGTCCTGCTACTTGGATCTGCTTTGTCGGTGCATGCATGAATTTAAATAATTTTTATACACCCCTCTAACTTCTTCTACATACATACGAGCGTACTAGTGGGCAAGTTCAAACTTAAAACATACCAAGCTCATCACAGGTCGACTCAGCGTCAAATTCATTGTAGATCACGTCACCAGCGCTGTTATTGCGCTGATGGCATTGCCCCGCCATGGCCCGACGGCGTGCGGAAGAGCTTCTTTTGCGCCGACGATAGACAACGGCCGCCACGCTTGCCATGGCTACCAGGGCTGTGGATGTTGCTATCATAACCCAGACTGTCGAAGAGCTTGTTTCTCCTGTAGTAACATAAAGAGAAAGTCGGGTAATGGGATTTATGCATACTAGTCCCGCCATTTGATCTTGAGGGGCAAGTCCACTATAACGGTACACACTGTGATACCAATCCTGCATCAAAGGTCATATAAACTGTGTACGATCATACCTACAAATGTACTACAACTGGCTGTACCTGCCAGATATGGGACGAATCGCCCCTCAGGAAGGTGGGGGCCATGTTTCATGCATGAACCCATTGGAGAATTCACATCCGAATAACCACCACTGACTGACGGCCCAGAAATTGATCACTTAATTAACTGACCTTTTGAGTTGTGTGCTGCCTGTCCATGGCTGTCCACCCTAAATGGCCCTACAAAGACATGGCTCAGCTGATCAGACATGTCGCCCTCTGCTGCACGCTTGCGGCGAACGGTGGAACCATCTGAGCAAGACGCAGTGGAATCGGATCAGGTCAGGCCTCCACTAGTTTCTAAAACAAGCTAAGACTGCACCTGTCATGCGTCCTTATCACCATTTATTTATTTTATTGATGGACTATCTTTTAGGTGTCTCAGCAAATACAGTGCATTTCAAAGGTTCGACAATAGAGAGGTTCCGGGGTACGATTTTCCGTGCCAAAATCCGTATGAGCGCTACGGATTTTTTCCAGGCATGCTCCATACGATTTTTCGGCACGGAGAATCCGTGTGGACTGGCTTTCACACGAACCATGTTTCGTATGGAGATTTTGCGTCATCGGGTGCAGAAAGATTTTTCGCGTACAAATTTGGTACGAGAAACATCGATTTTCCGCGGGACGTTTTGATTTCGGTACAAATTTTCAAAATAAAAAGGCATAGCGCGGGAATGTGACGTGTTTGCGATCGTAACCTAGGCAATGACGGCAAACACATAAGTTCCGTACTCCGGAAAATTTCACTGCTCGAAAACGACGTATAAAAAATCCGTAGCGCCTCTACGGATTTTGGCACGAAAAGTCGTACTCCGGAACCTCCCTAATATCCCTCCCCCAACACTCAAACAATGATAAGAGGATGAAAAGGTGTTTTTACTCCTGGTTTCACGCACTGAGCGATCATCCCTCCCCCAACACTTTAGGTCTGCATCTATACAACATAAGATTTGCTACCACATTGCACATCATGTTTTTGAAATTGGATGTTTCTTATCCAATCTACTTAGAGGTATGAAAGGTGATACGGCCTAGTTACAAGGAGCGTGATGCAACACACAGCATAGCTGCACGCTGGAATTGATGGGCGGTGTGCAGTTGAATCCAAAGCTAAACAAATGGTGTACATGTGCATGATGATATCATGCCGGCAGGCCTGCACTAATGCAACCTGATCATTACTGCTCCCACACGCTCCCTACATTTTTTTGTATTGTATTTTATTATTTTACTTGGGCATTCCCAACAGACCCTAAGGTCTTCTTACAGGGTGCCCAAGATGAATGAAATTGTTAAGTTCCTGGCGAAATGAATTGGGGATATGATTGGTGCGAAGGGATTCGGGAAGGGCATTAAAGCGGTCAGCACCAAGGAATGAAATAGATCTGTATCCAGCTTCAGCTTGCACAATGGGTAAGGAAAGGGAATAATTGACTTGGCCGCGGGTTACTCTATCTGTGTGAGCGCAGTCACGGCGAAGGGAGAACATGTCAGAGAGGAGTGAACTGCAGATATTGTGGATGCAACGGTACACGAAGAATATTGACTTAGTATGATATCTTTTGTCTAAGCTAATTATGTGGTATCGCTCAAGCAAGTATGATGTCCGCGTGAATGTGTCATGCTCAAATATGCATCTAAGTGCTCTCTTACTTATGCATAGCAGCTGATCTCTCACATTGTCAGAGAGGCAGTGGACGTAGGCAGTGCTGGCGTACTCGAGCTTGCTCTGGACTACTGACAAGTAGAACTGCCTTCTGGCCTGGACAGCAAGGTTCCTCCTTCCACGTCGAAAAGCACCTACCGTAAAAGTCCGTAAATAAGTACGTATTTACTTTCGAATTTAGTGACCACACCCGTACTAAGTTTCGGGCGGGTACTGACTTTCGGGCACGAACTAACTTTCAGACCTGACTTGTGTGTAGTGGAGAAGTCATTTTCATGTCGATGTACATGCTATATGCAGCATGTGCGCATCGTACCGGTACTTATTTCGGGCAGTATGTTTATCGGGCTTGACTTGACTTCAACAGACAGAGCCAAAAGAATGAAGGGGGTATTTCTTTCGGGCAGGTACTTATTTACGGACTTTTACGGTAGTTTCTTTCCGATGTCTTCCCTGAGGGAGGTAACGTGGGCACTGAAACTTAAAGTTGAATCGAGAGTCAGTCCTAGATACTTAACTTTGTCAGACGGGGCAATAACAGTCGAACCACAGACAATGCTCAGGTTAGGTGGAGGCTGTGAGCGTCTGCTGTGGATCAGTAGTACTTGGCTCTTGCTGGAGTTCAGGAGCAGGCCGCGATCTGTGAGATGCTGCTTCACCACTGAAAAATCGTCTTCTAAGCATTGAGAATTCGTGGACACTTTCCAGAGGCATACAGGGTGGTGTCGTCTGCATAAAGAAGGCATTAGGAACGCAATGGCAGAGTGGGGACAAGTCGAGTGTAGATGCTGAAGAGGGTAGGGCCTAGGACGGAACCCTAGGGAACGCCCCTAGTGCAGGTTCTACAGTCACTTGTGGTTCCGTTCACTTCCATGCGTTGCTGTCGGTGAGACAGATACGACTTGAACCACTCAAGAGCATTTCCACGGATCTTCAGATTGTGAAGGTCATCTATTAACGTTTGGTGGTGGACGCGGTCAAAGGCTTTGCTCATATCGAGCAGCAGTACGGCCGTATAGTCTCCGGTATCCATGCTTCTCTGCCAGTTATTGATGGCAAGTGTTAAAAGGTCCTCAGTACTGTGGTTCCGCCTGTATGCAAACTGTTCATTTGGAATTGCTCCGGGTGTGATGTCCAGATGGTCGTGAAGCTGCTGGAGCACTAGTGATTCCAAGACTTTGGAGATAATTGGCAGTAGCGAGACTGGGCGATAAATGGAACTGTCGTAGGGGTCGCCTTTCTTAAACACTGGACACACAGACGCTAGTTTGTAGGCTGACGGTACCTTTCCGCTAGACAATGACTGGTTGAAGATGGAAGTTAAGGAGTTGGCCAGCTCGGCGGCATGGTGTTTCAAGATGTAAGCTGGTATGCCGTCTGATCCAGATGCTTTCGTGGCATTCAATCGTTCGAGAATCTTCGTTACTGCTGCTGTTGTAACGGGTTGGAACTCGAGAAGGCAGTTGTCTAAACAGTCGTCCGCCGGAGTGTCTGGGGTCGTAAGAGCAGCGCGGTGTTCATCATGGACGATATTGCCTAGGGTATCTGACAAAGATAAGAGGGAGGCTTTCGGTGTGGGGTGGGATTTTCTCCTTCCAGTTAGTTGATTCAGCACTGCCCATTGGAGTCTAGGATTTCCTGTAGCGGCACTGAACTTGTCTTTGTAGTACACACTTTTCAGTTTGCGGTTTAGTAAAGTTCCTTGACGACGTATTGCACGATACTGCTGTCGGAGGCGGTCATCCATGGGGTGCTTTATTAAGGCGCGGTGGGCTGAGCTTCGTCGATGAAACATCTGTTTCAGCTCTGGGGTTACCCAGGGCTGGGGGCGGGGTTTGGAGTAAGCTGCGCGCTTCTGGGTAACGAATGATGAAAGATCATCGAGTACTGTCATGACACTTTGTTGCCAGTGGCTTGCCGCTGCATTTAGAGCATAACCGCCGGATACATCTGAGGGGTCAAGGATGTGTGCGAGAGCTGCAGACGTTACACTACGGTCAAGGTGAGCCAGGCTAGGTTGGCGTCTTGGAGAGAATTGCTCGTGCGGCTGTTCAAAGTTGGCTCTACTAGCACGGACAGAGAGGCCAATAAGATGGTGGTCGGACAGGCCATCGACGCTGTGAACAAATGTACTATGAAGAGACATGGGAGAGGGAGACGGAGCAGCCGTTGTCATTGTTGTCGGTATGAGTGCAAGGTCTAGGCATGACTGACTAGGAACTCTGGTAGAGTCCAAGCATGTTTCACTGATTGCTAGCACATCGATTCTGTACTTGTACATTATGCAATGGATTTCATGAGTTTTATTTCTTAGGCTACAGATGTTGATATGGGCGATGGTTAAGCTCTTGATGGGTGAAGACGGACAATCAGGCACTGTTTGACTGGATGGATAGTTACAAGGATTTCTTAAAATGTTAGGTGCTGGGTCAGCGACGACATCTGTTGCTCGGAGATGAGGTGGAGTAGCTGAGAGGGAGTGTTGCTGGTGATTACTTGGACACCCTGACGAAACCTATTGTGTTGCTAGCTCATCGATTTCAGTTGCACTGTATGGGGTGCCATCTGGGTTCAAAATCTCACCATACGTTAGTGAGCAACGGATCTCCTTTTGGCGGAGTTCCTTATACCTAGGCAGGGCCTGTCGTCTAGCAATCTGCTGTTGCTTGGTCAGGTCGTTGTTCACGTACACATCTTGATCATTCAGTTTCAAATCCAGACGTTTACGGTACACTGACAGCTTGGCCTCGTGGCTTTTCATGCGTAGCCTCACTGGCCTGGCCTTGTCCTGTACGGCTTTGCTGGCGGAACCAATGCGCTCTGCAGAGAGTATTTGGTCAGCACTAATCTGGAGGAGCTGCTCACATCTGGATGACAGTGCTACGCTGTCCTCATTGTCCGCTTCGGGGATGCCCCTGAGAATAAGGTTCTCCGACCTCTTCACCCTTTCTACCTCCTCTGCTATGACCTCGGCAAGCTGCGTTGCACTGTGGCTCCCAGCTGTCTGCCACGCGTTTCCACGTGGTGCATTGCTTTACACCACACTCCTGGTACGGTACGCAGAGTCATCGTCTCGAGTACGGAAAGTCCTCTCCATTTCCTCCACTCTCACGTCAAACTTCGTCAGCTTCTCTCAAAAAAGAGCGATTTTCCGCCATTACACTTTCTAGCTTCAGGGAGATTTCTTGAAAGATGCTGTCTATTCTCATACTCATATCCTTCTGCTCCCGCAAAATCTCGTTTAACGTGCTGCGCATTGACGCAGTGTCGTCCTGTTCCGCCTGGCTCCCGTCATAACAGGTGTTGTCAATTTGCTGTCGCAGGCCGTCAGGAGGCGAGCGATCCGCCGTGGGAGACTTTCTGCTCAACCTCTCAGGAGTTTGGCGAAGAGAAGACGACTTCACACCTGTAACTGCTACTGGCAGCCTGCTTGGCTGACTGGCTGGCATGCTGGGGGAGAGCAAGGGGGAACTTTGACCAGAGCTCAAAAACCTGCAACCAGTTCCTACGTCACAAAATGATCCCTACATACGGCAGAGCAGGTATCTTTAAAGCGTAAGTGATCAGTCTGAGTCGACCCGTGGTGAAAGCAAGCCTCTTGGATCGGCAAGAACACCATCATAAGTCAATGAATAGAAAATGCAACTAAATCCAAAAAGTGGTGGACATCACGCAACTGCATTGTAAATAAAAGGGGGTTTGTCAACTGACAACCGCTCTATTTTGTTGCTATTCACTCTTTAGATGAAAATTCTTTTATTAATGATGTCGAAAAAAGTATTGACGTTTCGGGCCAGTCACCCATCATCAGTTCACAAACCCCCTTTTATTAATTAAATCCAAAGTTCATGAAAAGAAAATGCAACTAAGGGACCATCCGTAAATACCGATATTTATTTAGAAACGAAAACTAGTCATTTCTATCACCCTTCTTTTTTCTGGACGTGCTCACACATACAAATTGCACAGCAATATTTTTCGAGAAATGAACATGCACTCAACCCCCTCCCCTCTAAAGGACTAGTTTTCGTTTCTAAACAAACATCTATCTTTACGGATGGCCCCCCAAACTCAAAACAATGAAAAGAACATACCTCCAGTGCAGGTTGTCGTACAGATACTCTGCGCATCATCCGACTGACACACACGCACTGTGCAGTGCAAGTAGAACAGAGAGTTGGCAAACGTGTCGCCAATCTGATTGCCAATGGCAACGCTGAAGTTGTTCGACTTTCCGTCGGTTGTCTTGTACAACAACACGTCCCCATCAGCTGTGGGACATCTAGACATGGTGGTAAGAGAGTTCAACAATTGTTATGTTATAGAGTGATTTCACATCAGTTTGTCAGGTGACTAAATTTGTGTAGAAAGTGATCACGTCATGTGGACAGTGGAAACAACATGGCTGACATCATGTGACCTGTAGATCCGGGGGTTGACTGGAGTTGGAACCAACATGGCTGCCATCAGTGTAGGGTCATGTGACAGATGTGAAATTACTCTATTGGGGAGCAGGCCAATCACAGTGGCTATAGATTGCACACCTGAGCCAGCAATGGGACCATGATTGTCTTTGCACACCACGCTGCACTGTAAGCCAGCCCTTTCTTCCACAGAGAATTCGTCACAGAATGGGTCGGCTTTAATATGTGAAGAGTGTCAGCTTGATAAAAAATCTGTGGAGGTTAAGTCCATACGTTTTATGAAAGATGTGGTTTTCTTGGTAAGACTGCTGCCCCACAGCGGGAGTAGATTTTAATGTGTGCATGGGGTGCGCAGCAACCTAAGAGCATAGTTTTCCTGATGGAGAGCCAAGGAGAGTCAAGTAACTGGTGGTAATAGTTGAACATTGGAGCATAGCTGGTAGATCCTTGGTCCTTTTCTTTCCTATAATATTCAAACGAGCAGTACGAGGCATGTGGCATATAATTCCTAATACTTTGAAATTCTCCGTGAAGTCCACATTTGAAATTGCAAATTCCTGAAGTGAAGTTAAAAAAATGAAAAACAGTGATCACAGCACACCTACCCATCATCCAGGAATACGACCTGTGGCTGTGCTTGTTGATCACCTGGTGTTGCCCAACACTGGCTGGCCCTCAGTCCGGTCACATGACGGTCGCTGGTCTTGACCGCAGCCGACATGAACAGGTGATCGGTGGTGAACAGCGGTGTGGGAAAGATGCTGCGCTGGTAGGGGAACCTTGGATAGGGACAGTGCAGGCCGCGCAGGTCAATCAGCATGGCGTACTTGTACTAGCGCATGGTTTTGAAATCAAGTTGGTTCATACAGCTTATCACATCGTCTACACTTTTTTGAAGAGATCCAAAGAAAGCTGGTGGCGTCACCCCAAAGAAGTCGAGAAATCGAAGGGGAGGGAGGGAGGGAGGGAGGGAGGGGTGGGATTATAAAATGATACGGTGTTGATGCACAATGCGCTAACTATTTCTGTGACACTATACCCACCCTTTATACCCATCCTTTGCATCCACTGTAGTCCACGCTATATCCATGAAACCTCCCGGCTTTTCGATGAGCTCGTTTAAATATTATCTTTGCTCTAAAAAGTTGCACTCAGTGCAACTAATTATGTGTTCCTAAAGCGAGCTACAGGGAAAAACACCATGTTACACGACTACACCAGCTGACCTGTACGATGAGTCATTGAATGCCTTGAAGCTGATATCATACTGCTGTGTCCCTGGGCTTGCAGTCATTGTCACTGGTACACGCCGCTCTAGAGCTATCTCCAGAGACAAGTTTGCAGTTGAGCGGATGTAGCAGGAAACACTGATGTTGACTGCGCCAGTGTTGTAGAGCACTCTGTTTCTGTACTCCACCTGGAGAACAAAGCCGCACGCACGTACACACACACACACACACACACACACAGACACATGCACACACGCACACACCATTGGATGCCCATCGCCGGAGGCGATGATAGCGATGCTACAGCTGAAGCCATAGCATATTGTGCTGGGATTGCACCATTCAACAGCTTGCAAGGCTGAAGAATTGACCACGACTATTCAGCCTGGTCTACACCACACAGCTATGAAGTGGCTTTTTCTGGCCAGTGAATCCCTACTTTTGGTCTTTTTCATTTTTTTCCCACGCACACATCACACCACATACTCCGGCATGCACTGGCTGTTGGTAACCACCCAGGAGAATGAAAGAAAAGTCAGGAGGAGTCTGAGAAAGAGAAGAAAGACGTGTGTGACCATAATCGTCGGGAATCGAACCCGCAACCTATCGATTGGAAATCGCTGCACATACCACTGCACCATATAGGACACGCACACACACATGCACGCACGCACGCATGCACCCCCACACCCCCCCCCCCCCACACACACACGCACACACACACACACACGCACACACACACACACACACACACACACACACACACACACACACACACACACACACACACACACATACACACACACATACACACACAGGCGACACAAGTAGATATTCATCAACTCCTAAGCTTTTAGACGTTTTTAAAAAATTTAAAAGAACTTTGAAAGAGGAAGTTACTACAGGTCTGGTCAGAACTTGCAGGCTTGTCAGACTAAGAGATAGAGTTTACACAACAAGAGAGGGAGAGAGAGAGAGAGAGAGAGAGAGAGAGAGAGAGAGAGAGAGAGAGAGAGAGAGAGAGAGAGAGAGAGAGAGAGAGAGAGAGAGAGAGAGAGAGAGAGAGAGTGGAGAATACAATTATGTAGAGCCATGTCTTGTCATTACTTGGCATGTACTTTGAAGTATTATTTACCTGATCCTTGGTAACAATTCTACTAGTATTGCAGCCTCCGTCCAGCAGAGTTGTGGCAAAGTAGTGGGAACTGTTCTGCTGAAAAGTGCACTGGCTGTCCAGTAAGTGAATGGAGGATGGATTGAAGCCAGCCAGGTCAAACTTGCCAACAGCTACTGTCATATGCGTATCGTTGCACAGAGTCCGGGCACCTGTCAGCATAATAGCAACGCACAGAAGGATACTGCGTTCAGTGTTGTGTGCAGTAGAGGAGGCAACCATGAACAGTACAGTGCACATCAGCCTCTATCTAGCCAGTTGCTAGGTACATGTAGATCCACAGTGCACTGCAAAGCATGACTTGTCTTGATCTGACCAGCTTTCTGCAGCATACTGTACTTAGACTGGATTAGGCCTGTCCGAAAAAATGGGCATAAATTTACGGAAAATGGAAATGCAAAATGCATGGTTTTCCAGCCAACATTCAAACAAGAAATCAAAGGGGAATGTGAAAAAAATCAAAAAATCAAATCCAAACAACCCAAAATGCAGAACAAAAAAATGCATGCGTTGCCATGGCAACCAGATTCTAAAATGGCCGCCATGCCATGGTGATTACAAAAGAATTGGTTTTCTATGTGCTTTTCCGGATGTCAAACTACCGTATCATTGTGGAACGTGGCTTTTCATTTTCAGTTTGCAGGCGTTTGACTACCTACATGAATGTCCTCTTCGCCTACTGATACACTCCTAGTAAAGCCTTTGCTGCGCAATCTTATTTGTTGAAGAGCAGATTCTACCTTTCTTTACCGGCTCTACCAAACAAAAGCTGGTACTGTGGTAGCCTTGAAGTCGGTAGAACTTGGTCAGTAGGCCTATTATAATAATGTCCTCTTCGTCCACCTCTGATGAACTAGTCGCTGTAGAAGAGCGCACTGATTCGAACAACCCTCGTAACGAAACAGGGCAAGCTGCTGCTAGGGAGGGCCCAAATATGCTCAAAATATTCGCATATTATGCTTTTCGCATATTGGGTACCTGCTTCAAAATATGCTTCGAAATCACACAAAAGCAGAAAAATATGCTCGAAATATGCTCGAAATATGAACTGATATCAGTGATAATTATGCGAATTCTTTGCTCCTTGTAGCAAAATATGCTACATTTGGTACAATATCTGCTACTTTATGCGACCTTGAGGCGCGGACACTCTCTCCTCTTGTCAAATTTTCGCCCCGTGTTTGGATGAGCATTTTTCCTTCCGGGCTGAGTTTGGAAGTGTTCCCTGACCGAGCGTGCCGTGGTAAGTTTCCTTGGCCATTTCTGCAATCTGCCCTATAATTATGCGAATTCTTTGCTCCTTGTAACAAAAAAATGCTACATTTGGTACAATATGCTAGATTTGCTGCTTTATGCGACCTTGTGTCAAAAGGACAAAATATGCGAAAATATGCGCAAGCATATTCGGGCCCTCCCTAGCTGCTGCTCCTAGGCCCGCAGTTGTCAGTCTATTGGACCGGTTGAAAGCTCCAACAGCATCGGATTTGGCGAGACCACGGAAGATTAGTACCTTGAGCAAGCCGAATGGATCTTTTAAACCTCCAAATACCAAGCACCAACCCAAAACTAAGACTCCTAGTCCTAGTCAACGTGTTAGCCAATTCCCAGGGGAGAATTTGGTTGTGCGATCTGGTAAACTTTATTGCAAACGCTGTCGCCATGAACTGTCCAGCGTCAAGAGTGTTGTTCAAGGGCACATTGGTTCCACCAAACACAAACAAGGGAAGGAGCGTGCTGCTGAAAAGGTTGGTGTGTCTAAGCAACATTAATGTTGATGGATGGGTACAACTACCTGCGTGCCAACAATGCAGAGGGGGCAATCCTTCCTGATAGTGTTCTCCTGCTCCGCATCAAGTGTGTGCGGGCATTCTTGAGTGCTGGCATATCGATGAGCAAAATCAATGACTTGAGGGATGTTTTGGACGAGTATGGAGAGAAACTCACCGGCTGCCAGCATCTTGCTGATCTCATCCCCATGAACCGAGACCAGGAGAGATAAGAGCTAAAGAAACTCCTTACCGGGAGGAACGCCGCTGTGATGTTTGACGGAACGACGAAGGTGTGTGAGGCGATGACGTTAGTGATTCGATATATTGACGACAACTTCAATGTCCACCAAAAGCTGATACGCTTACAACTAGCAGAGAAGAGGCTCTCCGGGGAGGAAGTTGCTCATGCGTTGCTGAATACTCTGGCTGTTCTGTACCAGCTACCTCCTGAGCATGTTCTAGCTGCCATGCGTGATAGGGCAAAGGTGAATGATGTGGCGATCCGTAGCCTTTAGCCGCTCTACATCAATCTGTTCAATGTAGGTTGCTTCAGCCACACATTGGATAATGTCGGCGAAGCTGTGGTGACCGACCAGCTGGACACACTTGTATCTTCCTGGATTCAGCTGTTTTTTTTCACAGCCCCAAGTCACGGTTGGAGTGGATGGCTCAGACAAATGTGAGCATCAAGGCCTATAGCAAAACCCGCTGGTGGTCGAATTATGAAGTCATGGATCAACTGCTAAACCTGTTTGGAGATGTGGTAGGATTTCTCCGTACCGATGTCAAGACGCCTGGAGCTTTGTGCCGCCGAATGCGTGCTGTCATTGAGAACCTTGAACGTCGAGGAGAACTCCAAATCCAGGTCGCAGTGACGGTCAAGTTTTGCCGTCCATTCGTACAAGCCACGTACAAGTTGGAAGGCGATGATGCGCTTTGTCTCGTAGCTTACGAAGTTATCAGTGGCCTTCGCAACTTCGTGGCCATGCAGCCCATTCATTTGCCCTTGACGGAAGCCGTTGCTGCACAGCTAGGAGGCGCTAATCCTAACCACAGGGAGATCTGGATGGATACGGCTCGCAAAATGCTTGCCACCTGCAATTGCCTAGTTCAACGCCCGTTACGGAGTGGCCGGTGTTTCAAGCTGATGCCGTCTCAGCTTTTCGAGCCGCCTGCCTGTGTGACCTTTGCAAGGTCAACGAGATGATGCCAATGATAGCTGATGTGGAAAATCTCCAGAGCTTCCCATTCGTGAAGGCGGAAGACGTCGTTCGCCTGAAGGATAAGCTACCCCAGTATGTGGCGGCATGCGAAAGCGCACACACCCCGACACCGATCCTCTTCAGTGGTGGAGGAATCATGGCTGTGACCACCCTGCTTGGAGTTCTGTATTCCAAAAGATCCTTTTGGTGCAGCCCAGCTCCGCTGCTGCCCAAAGTGTTCAGCCTACTCCAAAACTCATTCTCCAAGCACCAAGAGTCAGCACTGGAGGACTATGTGGAGAACTCCATCATGATCTAGCATAATCATAGGAAGTAGTTTCATTCATGTTATTCCTTTGTTTGATTCTTGCTCTCTCGTATCGGCCTCCGGTCCATCCTCTGCTCTTATGCATCGGTTAGCAGTCACGCATCATAAATTGCTTCGATTAATATTTCCTATGCCCCCTCTTGATATGCATATCATATAGATTGTATTTATGTGAAGGTACATGCTGTGGCAAATGTAAAACATTTTTTTCATAATAATTATGACCCAGCAGCAGGTAAGTACTATGTGTAATGAATTCATGACAGCATTGTCTTCCGCCTTGTAACATATTTCGCCATTACAAGAGGCCTCGAATATCGGAAAAAACTACAGCCACCGCACCCACGGGGGCCGAAAGTTCGTACTACACGGTCAGTACACGCTGATTTTGTCCAAATCACGCTTGCAATTAGTTCGTCTTCACGAAGTTCGTCGTACAGGAGTTCGTCGTAAACGAATAATTTTGACTTGATATGATGCCTGGCCAACCATAGGATTGGCCCTAGTTCGTACTAAAGGAAAGTTCGACTTATCAGTGTTCGTCCTAATGAGGTTTGACTGTAGTTCCTTGGTCCTTTTCCTTTTCTATAAAAAAATAAAATAAATCATGCTTGCTGCCTCGGTATAGTTGCCGATTTCCTGTTGTATTTGACTACGGAAGTCCAGTACCATTCACAAACGCTTCGCATTTGTGTGTTCCGTAAGGAGGCCAGTGTCTTAGGGCCAAGTAATAAGTGAGAGGGACAGAAGACACTGAAATAGCAAGTTGAACTTGACTTGGTTGAGCTGAAACCTTGGCTGAAACCTTGGAATTCGACCGAAAATGGGCAAAATAAAAAAATGGAAATTGTGAAGAAGAGGTTGGTGCGACTTCGGCGATACTTGGGGAATTGTGTGTTGCTCCCAGCGCAATAAAGACCTCGTGAACACCAGAGGTGGACGGTTCGATGGACTTCTCGTGTGCTCCGGATGGCAGTCATGAGTCAGTCAAGTGAGAATTCAAGTCGGCAGGAAAAGCGCGAGCTCCCTTGTAGGGAGCAACACACAATTCCCCAAGTATCGCCAAAGTCGCACCAACCTCTTCTTCACATTATTGTCCCCAGAGCGGGCTAGCAAATTAGATGGTTTGGAGGCAATAATGTTGTGAATGGCCAACGGTCCTCAGCCCTTGTTCAGCACCTCCACCAGCGACACTGACTCACGCTGGTATCTGGTGTTCACGAGGTGTTTATCGCGCTGGAAACGGAGCGTCTCTGTAAGTTTGTATCACTGGCGATGTTTGTGCTGGAGAGCACTATATAAGTGGTGCTCTTCACGCACAATCTTCCTCAGCCTACTCAAGCTCAACTGATGAGGGGTGAATTCCCCGAAACACTGTGTATTGATCAGGGAGTGGTGCTTTCTTGCAGGTTTGCAGAGTGGATGGTCGGGATGGCAGTCCGGATGGCAGTCGCGAGTCAGTCAAGTGAGAATTCAAGTTGGCAGGAAAAGCGCGAGCTCCCATGTAGGGAGCGACAATTCCCAAAAATGCAAAATGTACCCCAAAATGCAAACAAATTCAGAACATTTTTTCGACAGGCCTAGACTGGATGCATGATACCGTACTAACCTTGCAGAGATATAAAGGAAAAAACCCTGCTGAGGGGTTTTCCCTGGTCCGATAAATATAGCCAGGCTATCCAAATTGCGACGGTAAAGACAAAACAAGCACTGGCGCACTTGGATTTATAGAGCTCACCCGGGTTGTACGCATGTATTTTTATCCTGGACCCAAGAACCTTACTTACATTATACTTTTAGAAAGGAAAAGGACATATGGAAACGAGTTAAGAGTTACTCTCCACCACTGTAAC